CTCACATTTTTTTTACACCAGTTATAGTATCACATTTTGTGTTTGAAACAGGGTCTCACACTGTTGTTCAGGCTGGTCTTGAATGCACAATAATTCTCTCAAATGCTAGGATTATGGTAATAAACCAACACATCCATTTTATGTAGAATTTAAGTAATGCAAATTCACTTTTTAAAATAGTACAGTCAACTGATTGTCAGGTATGGTGGTGTGCACCTGTAATCCCAGCACTCTGGAGGTTGAAACAGGCAGATTACCACAAGTTTAAAGCTAGCCTGAGCTATAGTGAATTCAAGACCAGCCTCACTAGCCCTCAGGAGACTGAGGCAGGAGGATCATTATGAGTTTGAGACCAGCCTGGGCTACAAAGTGGTGGCTTTGTTCCAGTGATCCTTCATCCTGGCTGACCTTAGGACCCTATTGGCTCCCCAGAACTATAAATATGTCTTAGTGCCTTTATTCTCACCTTGAATTGCACTGGAAGTGATAGATTGGAATTAACTCGCTAGAAATACAATGATTTTTCCATGGGATTACAAATATAAATTTTCGGACTGAGCGGAAGGCCAGTCTGAACTGCATAGACAGACCCTGTCAAGAAAAAAAAAAAAGACTAGCATCAAATACATAGCAAAGCCTTGGCTCAAAGAAATTAAATAGGGCTGGAGATATAGCTCAGTGGCACAGCCTGAGTTTAATCCCCTGTATCAAGATAAATAAATAAATAAAATGTTCAAAAACTCAAGTAAAATAAATTGTACAACTGAGATAGGAGAGAGAGAGCAAAAAGAATGGGAGGTATAAAAATACCATTGTATAAAAACACCGCTTCCTGAGCTGGGGATTTAGCTTAGTGCCTGCCAAGCGAGCAGTCGTGAGTTTGATTCCCAGTACCAAAAAAAAAAAAAAAAAAAAAAACCACAAAAAACAAAAAACAAAACAAAAAAACATACTTCTTCTTTATCCATTAGGGAATGTAAAAAGAATTAAGATGTGTTATATGCATGTTACAAACTCCCCACAATCAATATAATCATTGTTACTACAAATATATACTAATAAAAATTTTAAAATTGGGGCTGGACATTTAGTTCAGCAGTATAAGCACCTCCCTTGCAAGCGTGCAGTTGTGATTTTGATCCCCAGTACCAAAAAAATTTTTTTTAATTTTACAAAATAGTCAAGGAGTGGTAGCACACACCTGTAATCCCAGCACTTGGGAGGCTGACACAGGAGGATCATAGAGACTTTGAAGCCAACCTGGGCTATGTAGTGAGACCCTGTCTCAAACCAAACAAAAATTTTAAAAAGAACTGTGAATGGAGTTCCATGCAAAGGCTCTGTGTTCAATCCCCAATACTACAAAGAAAGGAAAGAAAGACAGAGAGAGACAGACAGACAGACAGACAGACACAAGCCAGGAAAGCAGGATGGAAAGGAAAAAAGAATATGGTTGTCTTTAGCATTTTCACAGGACTGTGTAATTATCCCAATGTTAATTTAGCTCTGTGTGTGTGTGTTTATACGTACACATGCACATGGATAGAAAGCCCTTTCCTCCCCAGGCATGGTGGCTCACGCCTGTAATCCCAGCACTCGGGAGGCTGAGGTTGGAGGATCCTTGCGAGTTTGAGACCAGCCTGGGATACAAAGTGAGCTCAAAGCCAGCCTGAACTGCATAGCGAGACCCCATCTCAAAAAAAGACCAAAAAAAAAAAAAAGAAAAGATAGAAAGAAAGAAAAAGAAAAAGAAAGCCCTTTCGTGGACCTTGTCTCAGTCTGGAAATTTTATGAGTGCAAAAAATTATATATATAGGGGCCATGGGTTTAGCTCAGTGGTGTAAATGCCTGCTTGGCAAAAATGAGGTCATGAGTTCAATCCCCAGCACCAAAAAAAAAAATTATATATATATATATATATATGTTTTTTAAAGCTTAAGACATATCACAATTATGAATGCCTATATGATGTGGTTGGGTTATTTCTGTGACATTCATGCTAAAAGCTCAAAACCTCACTCTAATTATCAGCCAGGCATCGTGGTACATATCTGTAACCCCAGTACTCAGAAGGCTGAAGCAGAAGGATTGCCATGAGTTCAAGGCCAGCCTGCACTACAGAGTCCTTCAGACCCAGCCTGAAATATCTAGCAAGACTGTGTTTCAAAATAAAAAAAAAAAAAGCCAGGCCTGGTGGCACAGACCTGTAATCCCAACACTCGGGAGGCTGAGGCAAGAAGATCACTGCAAATTTGAGTCCAGAGTTGGCTATACTGTGAGTTCAAGTCCAGCCTGAGCTACATAGCAAGACCCTTTTTCAAAAAATAAAACAAAACAAACAAAACACAAGCACAGATCAACCAACAACCCAGATTGAGGGTTGTTACTCAGAATAACAAAATTGAATTTTCCAAAAGTGTTAAAGGTCATGAAAGCCAGAGAAAGACTAAAGAACTGTGACAAACTAAAGAAGACAAAGTAACTGTATAATTATTTTGCAATGTATGACAGCCTAGATTGAATTTTAGAAGGGGAAATGGTCTATACTTTAGTTAACACTACTGCACCAATGTTCATTTCCTAAACTTGATACTTACACCATTATTATATAAAATTTTTAAGGAATCCAGACATGGTGACACATACTAGTAATCCCAGAACTGTGGGAGGCTGAGGCAAAAAGATCTAAAGTTTGAACCCAGCCTGGGAAATTTAGTACAATCCTGACTCAAAATTTTAAAAGTGCTGGGGATGTAATTCAAGGCAGACCATAATCCTCAGTACCAGCGACAAAAGAAATAATGCATTCTATTTCTATAATGCTTAAATCTAAAGTTATTTTTAAATAAAAACTAAAATTTTGTCATTATATATTGAAAATCACATTGGTAGGGCTGGGGATTTAGCTCAACGGCATAAGCGCCTGCCTTGCAAGCAGGCAGTCGTGAGTTCGATCCCTGGTACCTATAAAAAGGAAAAAGGCAAAAAAAAAAAAAAAAAAAAAAAAAGAAAATCACATTGGCTTCACAATTAAGATTCCAGAACCCAGGCTGGGAAGTTAGCTCAGTGGCACAAGCACCTGCCTGGCATGTGCAAGGTCATGAGTTTGATCCCCAGTAACAAAACAAAACAAAAACATAATGTAAGATTCCAGAACCCATCTCCAGCTGCAACAAACATGACCATGAGATTTATCAAACAGTGGACTGCCTGTTTCAAAGATCATTCTCTGAACCACCAACTATTCTACTTTCCAAAACACTGTATGTTCCTATTTGATTTAATTTTACTTATAGCTTCACATTTAAAGCATATTCCTTACATCCAAGGTGTGGGCTATTAAAATTAATTTATTCCATGCCTTCTGTTGATCATTTAGGAAATATTCAGACTGGGCATGGTGGTGCATACATGTGATTCCAGCACTTGGGAGGCTGAGACAGGATGATTGGCCAGGAGTTTGAGGCCAGCCTGGGCTACATAATGAATTTAAGGCCAACCGGAAATACATAAGATACTGATTCAAAAATGTATACAAGTTTTTGGCACGATAAATAATACAAAAGTAAATCCTTTATAAAACTCTTTGCACAAATTTCCTTGGGATAAGTCTGTAGCAGAATTATCGTATTCTTACTGTTGACTGTTTATGTATCTCTCTTCTGCACATTCACCTTAGGGAGCTGATGCATGTACATAGAACATTTTAGTTCTCTTTACTTCCCCTTCCTCTCCTTTCTGTTCCCCCTTCCTCCATCTCTTGGTCCTTTTTCCATTTGCAAAAGATCTGTCTCCTAGTGGGCAGTGAATGTTCCGTTATTGCCCCCTGATTGATGTGTTTTGCATTTTGTTGCAGTTTTGTCTCCTTTCTTTCTTTCTTTCTTTCTTTCTTTCTTTTTATCCTTGAATAAAGTGGATTTGAAAAAAAAGAACTGTCTCCCTGTTTCCTAATGTCTTTTATTTTGCTTTTTATTTATATGTTGGTTTCTCATAAAAGAGAAACCATGCAATAGTTCAGCTTTTAACCATGCCGATAGTTAAGCTTCTGTGTCTGATTTATTTCACTTAACATTATGGTCTCTAGGTGCATCAATTTTTCCTACAAAAGTGTTGGTGCTTGCCTGTAGTGCTCAGAAGGCTGAAGCAGGAAGGTTGTGTTCAAGGCCAGTCTGGGCTACCTAGTGACTTTAAGGCCAGCCTGAACTACATAGCAAGATCCTGTCTTACAAGAAAACAAAGGGCTGGGGATAGAGCGCAGTGGCACCTGCGTGGCAAGCACAAGGTCCTAAGTTTGATTTCTGGTACCATAAAAACTGTTTTATCTTTATTAATAGCAGAATACTATTCCATCGCTGATTTTTTTTTTTTTTTTTTTTTTTTTGAGACGGGGTCTCGATATGTAGTTCAGGTGAGCCTCCCAGTCGTCATGTACTCCAGACGGGCCGCTAACTTGCAGCGATCCTCCTGCCCATCCACAAGGTGGATTATTTACAATAACACGACCGAATAAGTACCTGGGAAGAATGAATTGACTGTACACCTCGACTAGGTACTTGGGAAAGTACATTCCCCGCCAGGCGTAGTTGTGCATATCTGTAATCTCAGCTACTCAGAAGGCTACAGGAAGATCCCCAGTATCGTACCACAAAAACAAAACAAAACTATGTCGCTGGGCGTGGTGACGCGCATCAGATATCCCAGCATTCAGGAGGCTGAGGCAGGAGGGTGGCTGTGAGTTTGAGGCCAGCATAGGCTACATAGTAAATTCAAGGCCAGTTTAAACTGCAAAGCGAAACTCAGTCTCAAAAAAAAAAAAAAAAAAAAAGAGGAAGGGAGGGATATTTCCCAGAATACGTGGCGCGATTCATGTACATATTTAAAAGAAGGACCATCGTTCCCACGGTCCGTTGTCGCTCTCCCTGTCACTATTCCGCAGTGTCTTATGGGAAAGGTAGTACGCATGTTCCTCTGCCGGCCCCTGGCGACTAGAGCGCCCACTAAACTTCCCAGCAGGCAGAGCGCAGCCTGGGAACGGGGAGCAAGATGGCGGACGCCGAAGAGGAGGTTTCCGAGCCGGCTACCCTTTCCGCAGCCCCAGTTTCATTTGGCTTCACTCGCACCTCTGTCCGGAGGCGACTGGCGGATAAAGCAGACGGCACAGGGTCGGCCCCAGAGGAGAAGGATTTCTTGAAGGTCGTGGAAGGCAGAGAGCTGCAGAGGTAAAGCACCAGGTCTTTCAGGCGTTGGAGTTCTGTGTGGTGGGCTCTAGCGGAAGGGTGGAATCGTCAGTTGTTTGTGTTGGTGACAGTAACCTAGAAAGCCTGAAACAACCTGGGAAGCTTTATGGAGGTGAGAAGGTGGGGGTTTGTAGGCGAAGCGGAGAAATTGGGCCTGATAATTGTGGGCATTGAGAAGAGAGTATATATTATTTGAGTTGGAAGGCTTTAAGACTTTGGGACACTGAGGTGTAGGTCTTCTGAGAAAAGGAGAGAATGACAGGACCCCTCGTGTTTCATCTGAAATGATGGGGCATCTCTGTTATGTAGAACGGGCTGGGGTATCAGATTCAGATTGAGAGAGACTGGCGTCAGCTTAATTAGTAAAGGGGAATCTGCTGGGCCTGACGCACCCGCGGGATGGGGTTAGGGAGTACTTTCAGAACAGAATCAGTTGTCCAGAAGGCACGTTTGGAGTCTGGAGCTGGGGAAAGCCTGGACTGAAGATGTTGATTTGTAGGACACTGCGAGAGGCTCTAAGAGTGATTCCTGGCAGACACTAACATGGGAGCGGGAGGCGGGAAAGGATACACCATCAAAGACATACAGGAAACTCAGGCAGCAAAATGGACTTTATCTTCCACAAGACTGAGAGTTAATTTGGCTCTTGTGTTCTTTTCTGAATAAAGGGGTGTGGCTTAGAGCCCCCTTACCCTTGCTACTCTTCTCCCCCAACTTTGTCCTTCTGTGTCCACATTAGTGTGAAGCCCTTAGAAGCCCCTAAGGAACTGGTCATCCCATTGATCCAGAGTGGCTTCCGAAGGCAGCCCTTGGCCCAGACGCCTATGCCATCCGTAGAGGCTTTGGGGGATGGGGTGCTGTCCCAGGCTGTGAAGGAGCTCATTGAGGGTATGTGATCCCAACTTTGTCCTGCCCCAGTGAAGGAAGAAGGGGAGAAATGTGAAAGGATGCGGTGAGACCTCATTGTTCCCTCCCATTCTTCCTTAGAATCCAAGAAGTCTCTGGAAGAGAGAGAGAATGCGGGTGTTGACCCCTCGCTTGCTATCCCCATGATCCAGAAAGGATGCATCCCCGGAGAGGAGGGGGCAGACAGCACACCCCGGGCTGAGACAGTGAGCTGTCCCCTTGCCTCCCTCCTGTAGCAGCCTGTCTGGTGTCTTGCAGCCTTGCCTTCCTGTACACAGGAGGACAACTCTGTCTGAGAGGGCTGCTGCTATTTGTGTCCCCTCCCCTCCTGCTTGGAAACATTAATGACTAGATATCAGCATGTGGAAAAACGTACCTGAATTCCCACAGTATCTGAATGAGTTGAAAAGCAAAGCAAGGGAACAAGAAAATACAAAGCACATAAGGGTATACATTCCCTGGAGTGGTTTTTTTGTTGGTTTGTGTTTCTTTTCCTTCCTTCCTTTCCTTCTTTTCTTCCCTTTCTTTTTATTTACTTGTGTTTTTGGCCTATAGTGCTTGAGGAACACTGAGGAGACCAAAGTGGCTGGAGTGAGATGAGTGAACAAGAAAGACAGTAAATGAAGGCAGAGGGGCTATGGGCCATGGTGAGCACTTTAGCTTTTACTGTTAGGTAAGCTGAGAGCCAGGGTGGCCTTGAGTAGTCAAGGGCTATACTTGGGGTATAACAGGATCCCTTGGTTGTATGAGCAGAAAGGACCAGCAAGCAAGGGGCCCAGCAGTCCTGGATAGAAATGGTGCAGACTCAGGTCAGAGTGGTCAGAGAATAGGAAGATTTAATGAGAAGGAAGAGCACAGTGAGTACTCATACTGCCAGCAATAGCCCAAGCAGCAGCACACTGTGGTGTGTGTCTAGTGAAGTTGTAAAGGATTAAGGGGATGCTCATGGAGGTTATGGTATGAGAGATGAGAGGTGGGTCCAGGCAGGTAACTAAAGTCTGTCTTTCAAACCAGCTGACCCAACTTTGCACCTTTTCATAAATTTCTGGCAGTGTCTCTTTGGGGTTTCATCTCTCTCACTCGCTCTCTGTCTTGAAATTCTCTCTTGCTGCCTTTTTTTTTTCTTTTTTTGTGCTGAGGCTTGAACCCAAGACTTTTATATGAGCTGCTCAGGCCAGTTTTACTTTTTTTTTTTTTTTTTGTGTGTGTGTGTGTGTGTGTGGTGGTGTTTTTGTTTTGTTTGTTTTGAGACAGGATATCACTATGCAGTTCAAGCCAGCCTTTAACTCATTATGTAGCCCAGGTTGGTCTCAAACTCCTGGCAATCCTTGTGCCTCAGCCTCCAGAGTGCTGGAATATTAGGTTGTATGACCACATTGGCTTGTTCTGCTTTCTTTGTTTTTGTTGTTGTTGTTCATTTTCAAGACAAGGTCTTGCTATGTAGTTCAGAGTGGCCTTGAACTCACTATGTAGGCCAGGTTGGCCTCGAACTCCTGAGCTGTTGTGATCCTCCTGTCTCAGCCTCCCCAGTAATTGGGACTATAGGTGACACCACCATGCCTATCTTTATTTTTTTCTCTTTTTAAAATGGTACTTAGAATTGAACACGGCCTTCACACTGAGGTACATCTCTAGCTCCCCACCCTTTTTTGTAATGAGGTCTTGCTAAATTGTACAGGCTGGGCTGGAACTTGTAATCCACCTGCCTCAGCCTCCCAGAGTACTAGGATTACAGGTGTGCACCACCATGCCTAGCTTCAACTATATTTTTAATTTATCACCACCTGATGTATCATTTTTTCAGAATTTGATTTATTTTATATGTGTCTTAACTTGAACATAGCTTCACACAGGCAAAGGTTTTGTCTCTTACTGCTTTATCCTCAGCCCCTGGAACAGTACTTGCCACAGAACAGGTGCTCTGTAACTATTTGCTGAAGGACTGAAAGTGGAGGGCTAAAGTGAGGCATGGTGAGAAGAAATCAGAGCTCCTCCTCGAGCTGACCTGCCAAGGGCCAGAAGTATAACAGGTCACCCCCTAGGTGACAGCAGGTATACTTCTGACAGAGGGCCAGTAGTTAGCGAGGCCTGACTCTCCTTCATCTGCCTGTACCCTGTAGGTGCCAGAGGAGGCTGATTATGAGGCTGTCCCTGTGGAGGCCTACGGGCTGGCCATGCTGCGGGGTATGGGCTGGAAACCTGGTGAGGGCATTGGCCGCACTTTCAATCAGTAAGTTCTGGGGCAAGGATATGGGGTAGATAGATGGGCTGTGACTGAAACGCTTGTGGTTGCCACCAGCCAAGAACCAACCAGGCAAATGGCTGGGGGCGTAATATATTATCACCCTAATGAGTTAGTCTCTTGTACTATAGTTTCAGACTCCTGTTTCCCTTCAAAACTCCTTAAGAGGATCCCTATTATGTAAAGTTGCCTTTCTGGAGATCAGTTTCCATATCTGAAAAATGAGGTAACAATGCTGATTTTGCCAGGTATAGTGGTGCAAGCCTAATCCCAGCACTCAGGACCCTGAGGCAGGAGGATTGCCTCCAATTCAAGGCCAGTCTAGGTACATAGTGAGTTCAAAGCCAGCCTACACTGCATAGGGAGACTCTGTCTCAGGAAAAACAGTTCTGACTTCACAGGTCTATTACAAGAATTAAATTATATTCATGAAGTTTACCCAATAAACATAAACTAAATATTTGTTATTTTCACACAGACTTTTTATTTGTTTGTGTTGGGGCAGGGTCTCATTTTATATTTCAGGCCATCCTTGAACTCACTGTGTAACCCAGGCTGGGTTCAAACTTAGGATCCTCCTGGCTCAGCCTCTGTAGTGCTGGGATTAAAGGTGTGTGTCAACATTCCCAGCTATCACACAGATTTATAATCCCTTTTTTGCAATTGCAAACTCCAGAGACTTTGAAAACAAAACTTTTTTTTCATAAATCATTTGGTAGCCACATATGACTGGAGTTGGCATTAATTCTATAATGTTGCCTGTTATGGTGGCGTGGGTCTGTAATCCCAGCACTTTGAAGGCTGAGGCAGGAGGACCACCACAAGTTGAAGGCCAGCCTAAACTACATAGTGAGACCTTGCCTCAATAAAAACACAAGTTCTATAATCTGTTTCCTCTACGTGGTGTATACACTCATGAAGTTTTCCTTATAGACATATTAATGTACTATTTGGTTACAGAAAACTCACTGTGACCCCACTGTAGATATTGTGGGTAGATGTACATCAACGTGTTACTAGTTTGAACCAAATGAAATTGCCTGGCTGGGATCTGGAGATGTAGCTCAATGGTAGAACATTTGCTCACTATGTGCAAGGCCCTAGGTTCCATCCCAAGTATTGCAAAAAAATCCTAATGCGAGATTAGAAGGGGCCTTCTTGAAAATACTGACGGGCTGGATTTGGAGTACAGAGGGGAAATGAGGCAGTGGAGACTATTGTGCCACCTGCAAGCCTGTGTTCCTTTCTGCAGAGTGGTGAAACCCCGTGTGAACTTGCTGAGGCCCAAGGGGCTAGGGCTGGGTGCCAGCTTGACAGAGGCCCAGGCCTTGCCCTCCAGTGGCTCCTACTGCCCCCCAAAGCCAGGTGGGGAACAAAAGAAGGGTAAGGAAGACCAACCACAAGGGCTGGTGCCTGGCAGAACCGTGGTGGTCCTTTCTGGCCCTCATCGAGGCCTCTACGGGAAGGTAAGAAATCAAAATGTCTCTGGACTGCTGGGGATATAGCTCGGTGGTGGTAAAGCACTTGTGTAGTATGCACTCAATTCTGGATCCCTTCCTAACATCACAAAAAAGATGTCCCTGGAACCCCAAATAAACAATGGGGAGATTGATTGAGGGCCAGAGAGAGGAAGAATTGGGTTTGAAAGGCTGTGAGTCCTCATTTTTCAGACTTGCCTGGCCCACTGCCACACTAGGTAACCAGGACTACTGGCTGGGCCTTTTGGAGTCTCAGTTCCCACCCAAAAGTGAGAACATTTCATATGCCACAAGGTACCTAAGGATTAAATGCACAAAGGTATTTGGTAGGCTGAGGCATGAAGATTGCTGCACGTTCAAGACCAGCCTGAACAAAATAACAAGACCCTGTCTCAAAAAACTACAATAAATACGTGCATGAGTACACAAATGATGTCTCAGCCCCACAGTCTAGTGAAGAAGACAGGGAGCTAGACCAGGTTCCACTTTACAGAGGTGGTAGTTTATTAGAGGAGACAGAAACCAGGCCTAGTCTGAGCCATCAGGAGCCACAATCTGGTTGGAGAGATACGCAAGAGTCAATCCCGTTGGAGCTGAACAGCTCAGCTCTAGAAATGAGATGGAGTCCTCTCAAATTCTGCCTTATGCCTTCTTCCCCGTTTAGGTGGAGGGCCTTGATCCTGACAATGTTCGGGCCATGGTTCGTCTAGCACTGGGCAGTCGCATGGTGACTGTTAGTGAATACTGTTTGAGACCTGTGTCTCAACAGGAGTTTGACAAGAACTTGCATTCTGGTGAGTGAGCCTCTTACAGAGCTCTGAGAAGCAATGGGGTGGGGGTGGGGCTGTCACAGGTGGGTTTTCCATTGGCAGGGCCAGGGATGAAGGACTACCAGCAAGTGTGATTGCAGCAAGAGGTCAGGACATGAGAAAGGCCATGAGTCAGTCGTTTCTTAGGTTTTCTGTCTGTTTGGCAGTTCTGAGGATAGCAGGCAGGGCCTTGCACGCACCAGTGGGCACTCTACCACCAAGCACCCCCATCCAGTTTCTTTAGCTTGATTGAAGAAAGGCAAATTGATAGCCTTGGGTCTGTAGCCTTTCTCTGAAGGGAAGACTCAGGTGTGGAGAGCAATTCATGCCCTCAGGGGGTCCCTGTCTCTGGGATGGCAGCTCCTTTTCCAAGGGAGTAAAACCCAAAGGGTGACTGGAGATGATGAGCAGCATAGCCCAGTGAAAGCATGGCAATAGAAAGGGCATTGGGCAGGTAGGTGCTGACAGCTCACCAGGGCATTGTAGTGTACATCAGACCAGGTGGCTGGGAAAGTGTCTAGAAGGGCCCTAGAACAGTGGAGGGGAAGAGGAGAGGTGCTTTTGTGGCCCTGGCAAAAGTAGAAAGATGAGAAGGGGCATGTTTATTTGGGGTTGCAGGAACATCTTTTTTGTGATGTTAGGAAGGGATCCAGAGTTGAGTGGGCTTTACCACCACTGAGCTATATCCCCAGATGGGAGATGGGCCAGGCCAAGCTATGCTCTTGGAAAGCAGGGGCAGTGAGACACTGGGGCTCTTTTCCCACTCTTTCTGCATTGACAAAATAGGCCAGGCAAGCAGAACTTCCTTGGGGCAACACAATGGCTCATCCTTGTCACGGAAGGCCCACCAGAGTGAAGACCTCCGAGGCCGGCAGGAGGACCCAGAGAAGAAGCGGAAACACCCTCCAGACCGGTGGGACCTTGGGCCTCTGGGATGGGGAAGAAGGCAACAGCGTGGGGGAGGCTCCCAGGGCAAGGAATGAGGAACAGAAGGAACTAGGAACAAAACTGGGTGAATTTCACAGCACAGGAAATGGCAGGGCAGCCGGAACATGTGCATGCTGAAGTGCTAAGCCTAGTGTCGGTACCCTCTCCACAGACAGGACGGGCCTGTGGCCAAGAGTGAGAAAGCAGCCAGCAGGAGTCAGCACTGGCTGCACAGAGACCTGCGTGTGCGTTTTGTGGACAAGCTGTACAAGGGCGGCCAGTATTACAACACCAAGGTGCGAACTGCATCCGGAGGTGCCTGCCTCGCCTGGGAACTTGGTCCCTAGCCCTCTGATGTCTCACATGCCCCTCACTTTTCCCTTCAGATGACGATTGAAGATGTCCTGAGCCCAGATACATGTGTATGCCGGACAGATAAAGGCCAAGTGCTGGAAGGTGAGTGAGAGCTGGGATAGCCAGTTCATTGGCACACTGCAGGCTGAAGGAAAAGGGCATCTGTGGCCAGGAGCCTAGCCCAGGCAAGGCTGGGAGGTTGGGAAGAGTTCAAGTTCTCTACAGGGCCCAGCACCCTCACACGTTAGACATTTCCATGCCACTGACTGCATCTGTCAGATTAGCATGCACATGGAAATGACTTCTCCCCACAGTGACTGGTGCCCTGATGAGAGCGTGAGGATCTCCCAGGGCAGGGTGGTGCCCACAGCAAACAGCAACCCTAGCTACCCACCATAGTAGCATTCCCCATAGTATCAGCTGTTCCTTCTGTGAACTGTATGCTAGGCTATGCCTGGGAAGTCTGTAGACTCCCATATGTCAGTGTGAAGACAACTCTAGGGAATACGGCAAAGGTGCTTCCCCTAGTTTTACCTGGGCTGCTATGCTGTGGGCTTCACTCCTCTCCTCTTTCCTCTTTTTGAAGGCCTCAGGGAAGACATGCTGGAGACTCTAGTTCCCAAGGTCGAGGGCGATCGTGTGATGGTGGTGCTGGGGCCACAGGCTGGAAGGGTGAGTCTCACTTCTGGAAATGGAGGTTTGGGGGTCACTCACGCACTGTTCCTGTGTCTGGGCAGGCCTGGCTGACTGCCTCATCCCTGCTCCAGGTGGGCCATCTGTTGGGCCGGGACAGAGCCCATAACCGGGCATTGGTGCAGCTGCAGAGAGAGAATCAGTTGGTGGAACTTCACTATGACGCCGTCTGCCAGTTTATGGGCCCCATTGACTTCGATGAAGACTGACTGTGGGGCAGTGCAGTCCTGTGAGTCCTTACCAGCTCTGTACCACCCAAAAAGTGGCCTTGGACAATGTGAGAAGATAAGTGTACAATCCTGCAGTGCAAGGACGGGAGAATGGATGGATGGACCAGAAAAAGACTAGAACTAAATCTAGCATTTACTAAAATTGAGTGTATAATAAAAACCATTTGAAATGTTCAGAAGAAGGATAAACTTGTCAGTGCTGTGCTGAGCTGTGACTTAAGATGGAAGCCGCACCAGCCAAGGTGGGAACTATTTCACCTGGAAGCCTCCTCTCCCTGCATGAGGTGGGAACAGGTTAAATAGCCCATTGTATCAGGAGCTGATACTTGGAGACAGAACTGAGAATGAAATGTGCCCCTGGCCCCTGAATGTCACATCTCCCAGAAGTCCCCAGGTGCCATCTTTTGGTAAATGTCCCCAGTGGCCTGAAATCTTGGTCCTTAGGGTGGAGCTATTGGAAAGTGCTGCTGTTGCCTTTAGACCAGTGATGGTGAACATTTCAGACATGGAGCACCATGTAACCCCAAGCCTACTTATTTCTTGAAAAGTGCCAACATTGCAATTCAGCCTGACTCTCCAATGCCTGGCTGCTGGGGCATCTTGGCATACGTGCCATAGGTTGGCCACCACTGATTTAGAAGATGAAATGAAGATTGTGTGGTCCTCATTTCTTTTTCTCTCTCTTTGCTTCCTAACCCACGAGGTGAGCAGTTTTGTTCCATTTGATCATGGGTTAGAACCTGTCAAGTAGAGCCAAATTCCTCTTCACTATCCCAGGGCCTCAGTCTTCGTGAGGCAGAGTGCATTCACCTAGGGAGAACTCTAGGAAAGACTGCTTCATGATGTGTACAGGGCAGAGCCCCAGATGCTGCCTTGAGCTGCTGATGCAAGTCAGAAGGAAGAGAGTCTCTACTCATCATAAGATGCATTAGTTCTAATGGCCAAGAGCACATCTTCACTCTGGACCCCTGGTTTAGTTTTAAAAAGTTGACTTGGAGGGAAGAAGTTCTATCTGACTTGGTAGAATTTGCTTCAGGTAACTATATTCTCAGGTTATTGTCAGACTCCCAAAACTTTTTTTGTTCAATAGCCTATCATAAAAATCAATAAGTCAGGCATGGTGGTGCAAGCCTATAACCACAGCATTCAAGAGGCTAAGGGAGGAGGATCTCGGGAAGTTTGACGCCAGGCTGGATGACTAGTGAGTTCAAAGCTAGCATTGGGCCAGGAATATAGCTTAGTAGCACAGTGCCTGCCTGGCAAGTGAAAGATCCTAAGTCCGATTCCTGGTACAAAAAAAACAGCCTGAACTACATAGTGAGATCCTGTCTCAAAAAAGGAAAAAAAAAAAAAAAAAAAAGGAAAGAAAAAGCGTAACAGTGCACGCCTGTGATCCCAACACTCAAGAGGCTGAGGCAAGAGGATTGGCAGGTCTGGCAGGGCAGCTTAGTGATAACAGCACTTGCTGAGCATTTGTAAAGTTCTGGGTTTCAGCTCCAGCACCACAAGAAACAATTTTTAAGAAGAGCCAATTATAAGCTGGATATGCATACCTGTAAGCCCAGCACACAGGAGGCTGAGGCAGGAGGATCATTGCGAGTTGGAGACCAGCCTGGGCTACAAAGTGAGCTCAAGGCCAGCCTGAACTGCATAGTGAGACCCTGTCTCAAAAAAGACAAAAAAAAAAAAAAAAAAAAACCCTCATAATCCCAATGTGAATTTCAGTTGTTACAGACCAATTAAATTCATCATCCCTACTTAATTCCAGAATGGATGTGTGTCGAGATTAGCCAAACAGGGTTGCTAGGACACAGCCAGGAACAGATCCTACCTCCCTGGTCCCTTCTATTTTCTGGCCCATATTGGAGTTGTATGCCTTCTAGAATGCCAGGATGCTTTCTTTTGTTTTATATATGGCCCTAGGAATTGAATCCAGAGTCTGCACTGAACTACATTCCAAGCTAGTGTTTTGTTTTGTCTTTTTGAGACAGTCTCGCTATGCAATTCAAGCTAGCCTTGAGCTCACTTTTGTAGCCCAGGCTGGTCTTGAATTTGCAATGATGCTTCTGCCTCAGGTTCCCAAATGCTAGGATTACAGATGTGTGCCACATGGGCTCAAATTTGTGATCCTCCTGCTTTAGACTCTCAAAGTGTGCTGGTTTTTCTTTGGCGGGGGGCACTGTTTTTTGTTTGGTTTGTTTTTTGAAATGGGATCTCACTACGTTTCCCAAATTGGCTTTGAGCTCCTGGTTTCAAGTGATCCTCTTGCTTCAGTCTGGCCAGTAACTAGGATTCACTATAGGTCTTGATTTTTGTTTTTTGGATTTTTTTTTAATACAGGGTCTCACTAAATTTCTGCTTGATCTCTTATCTTTCTTTTTTGTTATTTTTAAATTTTTTTTGTCTTTTTCTTTTTTATCAGTACCGGGGATTGAACTCACGACCACACACTTGCAAGGCAGGCGCTTATGCCACTGAGCTAAATCCCCAGCCCTTAAATTTTTTTTAAAGAGAGTTTCACTATGTGTTCAGGCTAGCCTTGAACTCACTTTGTAGCCAAGATGGCCTCAAACTCATGGTAAACCTCCTGCCTCAGTTTCCTGAGTGCTGGGATGACAGGCATGCACCACCATAATCAGCCCGAAACATATATTTTTGATGGGGGAGAGGGTAGGTTTCCCTGTTGACATGTCCAGAGGTCAGTTTCCTTGCAATATATGCTTCATCCAGGCAAGAAGGGCTTCTGTCTCTTTTTTTTTTTTTTTTTTTTTTTTTTTTTTTTTGAGCAGGGTCTCACTATGTAGTTCAGGCTGGCCTTGAACTCACAGCGATCCTCCTGCCCTCCTGCCTCAGCCTCCATAGTGCTTAAATTGCAGGCATGAACTACCATGCTGGGCTAGCTTCTCTCCTGAAATCAATAAACCAGGGGCTGAGGATTTAGCTCAGTGGCTTAAGTGCCTGCCTGGCAAGCACAGGTCATGAGTTTGATCCCCAGTACCAAAAAAATCAATAAACCAGCCAGGCATGGTAGCACAGACCTGTAATCCCAGCCCTCAGGAGGCTAAAGCAGGAGTGCCCTGACTTCTTTTTTTTTTTTTTTTTTTTTTTCGTTTTTATCGGTACCAGGGATCGAACTCACAACTGCCTGCTTGCAAAGCAGGCACTTATGCCACTGAGCTAAATCCCCAGCCCCAGTGCCCTGACTTCAAGGCCAGCCTGAACTGCATAGCAAGGCCCTATGTCAAAATACAAAACAAAATTTAAAAAAAAAACAATGAGTAAAACAGACTTGATACGCTGCCCCTGGAGAGTTGAGAGCACCATGGGGATAAACGCCAGTCACCTCCACATCTGCTCTGTAACGTGGCATGACTTGGCCATCTCTGATATTTCTTCCATCTCCATGTATAGAATACTAAAATCTGTCAGCATCAGAGCTCCTAGAATTAATGTTTCTATTAGCCTGCATTTGAAAATGGACCTGAAGTAGGTTTTGTTTTAAAAAAAATAGTGACAAAGTTAATATGAAAAAGTGAAGAGTGAGGGAGAAACTGGCTCTGCAGAGTGAACTTGGGTCAAGTAACAAGAAAAAAACAATAAAAGGACACCCTGGAAGACACAGGGCTCTTGCCCAGAATGTCTGCCCCAGGCAGAGTGCCTGCTCTAACAGGCCCACTGGCTTCCTGTGGTTCCCCTGCAGAGGACCCGGCCCCTCCTCGTGAAGGCTCATTGCATGAGAAGAGTGTGACAATAAAAGGCCCCTTGTCCACGGTGCCATTGGTCCACTGTGCAAAGACAGCTGCTAGCGACCACCTGCACACACACCTGGCCTGGCCACCACAGTTGCTTCTAGTCATCACTGCAGTGAGCGCCCCTGGGAGCCCATGAATTCCCCATAGGCTACTTACAAACTGGGCACTGCAACTGATACAATCTGTTCTACCTGGTTTCTTCCACATCACAGAGACTGAGCAAGATGTGGATAAAGAGTATTCACCTCTTCTGCAGAGTCTCCAGAAGTTTCCTTGGCAGTGTGGTACCTCTTAACACTGAGCTGAACTGGCATGACCTGTAATCCTAGCCTTGCAGGAGATGGAGGCAGAAGGTTGGCAAGTTAACCTGAGTGACTGAGTGAGGCCCTGTTGGAAAAAATAGGACTGGGGATGTGAGTAGTGCAAAGATTCTGGATTCCAGTTCCTGTTGGCAGAATCAAGAAGCAGCCTTTTATTTATTTATTTTTTTGACTGAGTTTTGCTATGTCGCTCAGGCTGGCCTTCAGCTCCCTGTGTAGTTCAGGCTGACAAATCTTGACAGCAATCCTCCTGCCTCAGCCTCCGGAGTCCTAGGATTACAAGCTTGCACCCAAACCCTGCAGACCCCCACACACTTGTGTTAGGGCCGACGCCGCAGGGAAAGAGACCCCAAGGACTCAACTCTTGGTGAGGGAAAAAAGTTTATTTCCATGCGCATGGGGTCCTCCAGGCAAACGAGTGCGGAGGGCCACGAGGGGAATTTGTGCAGGGTTTTTAAGGGCACAAGCGGGTTTACAGAAGCAGATCGCATTGGTTAATTTTGAACGGCGCAGGACTTGGCAGATGCTGATTCGAGGGATCTGGGGCTGAGTAACCATGGAGACCGAGAGTCCTGGTCTAATCTAGCACATTCCTTTACTTATCTTTATCTTTACAGAGGACAGATCATCTTGTGGTTAATGACTAGCAGATGCATTCCTTCCTGTCCTGCCCCGATATCTCAAGGAGGATTTAGGGAGTGACACATTCCTTACTGCTCTGTTCTATAGCTGGGGGGGGGGGATTACATTACAAACGGGGAGTCGATTCTCTCACTTGAAAGTAGTATATTTCCTATGCCTATTTGTTTTTTTGGGAGAAGAAGGGTCTTGAGACAAGGTCTTTGTGTGTGGTTTAGGCTGACTGTACTCACTGTGTATGCATGCTGGCCTTGAACTGGTGATCCTCTTTCCTTAGCCTCTGGAGTACTGGGATTACAGGTGTGCACCACCACACCCAGGTCTCCTCTGTTTATTTCTAAGTAGCATACCTTTTCAAGGGTTTTTTTTTCCTCTAAATAAAAAAGGGCTGGTGAGATGGTGGAATTGTTTGCCTTTACCTAACATGTTCAACCTTCAGAACCCTAAAAAAAGAAAAGTCAAAACTAGACCAGTGTCATGCTATGTATGCAGGCTGACCTTGAACACACTATGTAGGGCCAAGGAGGTAGCTGGTCAGTGCAGCACTTGCCTGGCAAGCACAAGGCTCTGGATCTGATCCGTGGTACCAAAACAAAAAAAACAAAATCACTATGTATCCCAGACTGGCCTCAAACTTCCAGCAGTTCTCTTGCATGTGCCTCTCAAGTGCTGGGATACAGGTATATGCCACTGTGCCTGGTCTATTGGTTTATATTGTTTTCTGTGTCCCCATCAGCTCTTGGCTTTCTATATTCAGCAGTCAGTCCTTAGTGAGGGGATGATTTCAAGGGTACTTTGTTGTCCTGGGCCTTCAGATAATTTAAAAACAGCAACAGAGAACTGGGTATGGTAGCACTCTTGTGTAATTCCAGCACTCAAGAGGCTGAGGCAGGAAGATCACCAAGAGTTTGAGGCCAGCCTGAATTACATAGCAACACCCTGTCTCACAAAACGGGACAAATAAAATTTCAGAAACCATACTCAGCTTTTCTGGATGTTCTCAGCAGGAGCAGGCCAGTCCAATGGACAGAAGTGGTTTTTTTGAGGCAGGGTCTCGATTTGTAGCCCAGACTGTCCAAGACCTCACTATGTAGCCCAGACTTGCTGAAAACTTACAGCAATCCTCCTGCCTCAGCCTCCTGAGTGCTGGGATTACAGGGGTCAGTAGGCAGAAGTTCTGATTCCATTTTTACTAACAAGTGATCACCAGGAATCTCCAGGAGCCAGGGGACATCCAGTAAACCACAGCAACTGGTGCCACAGTTGCTGCTTCCTGGGTATAGCTTGAGCTTATTTTGCTTTGTAGTCAGCCTTGTATATCTGTGGCCTCAACCAACCAGTATTTGAAAATTAAACTGCTTGCTATAAATTTAAGATTTTTTTCTTGTCATCCCCTACACAATAATTATAACAACTATTGATATGCCATTTACATGGCATTAGGTATTTTTTTATGGCATTAGGTATTAACCATAATCTAGAAAGAATTGAAAATATTCAGCCAGTACTCAGGAGAACTAAGCAGGAGGAATGCAGCAACTTTGAGGCCAGCCTGAGCTATATAGTGAGTTCAAGACCAACTTGAACTACATAGTGATGCCAGGGATAGAGCTCAGTCCTGAGTTCAATTCCTGGTACCAAAAAAAAGTGACTTTGAACTATCTAGTGAGACCCTGTCCCAAAATAACAACAAAAACATATAAATAGAGTCTGGTGAAGTGGCATATGCCTGTGATCCCAGCACTCAGGAGGATCACCTTGAGTTACAGGCCAGCCTGGACTACATGAAAAGTTCAAGGTCAGACTGAATTGTATAGTCAGAAAGAAGGGCAGAAGGACAGGTGGTAATGCAGCAGTTATATGCAAATACTTGAACTTATATGTATAGCAGACTTGAGCATCAGAGGATTTTGATAACTGTTGAGTGGGGGACCTGGAGCGAATCCTCCCCATACTAAGGTTTATAATATTACCACATAGAGAGACAGGAAACTGAGACCCTGTGCAGGAAGAAGAGTATTTGCACTATGATTGACTCAGTGGACTCACATCCAAAGGCAAAACCCCAAGCATGGCAGGGTTTCACTTTTTATGCAATTCTTGTGTCTTTGTCTCCCTCCAATAATAACACACTGACAACAACCTGATTGGGTACAGCGTATGTTACAGAGTGGTGCCCATGTCATCTTTTTTTGTTCTGAGAAGGCTCCCACCACATTTCCTTGGGAGGGGTCCAGCCACGGAGGGACTGTTGCTTTCTGGGAAGATACTGTGTACACGGGCCCTAGCCTCACACTTCATCCCTGAATAGGTAATGAGAGGATGGAAGCTTCAAGGTGGTGCACACCTGTAATCTCAGCAACACAGAGGTAAGGCAGGAAAACCGTCAGCCCAGCCCAGCCTGAGCTACACAGTGAGTTTAAGACCAGCCTGGATTACTGAACATAGGGTCAACCAAAAACCAAAGGATTGGGAGTGTCTTCCACACTCTCCCCACTACATGATTGAGGCCTTAGAGGAGACCTAAGCATAGGAAGGTGCAGCTACTGTCCTTTAGACTCATTGAGGCTAAGATGGCAGAATTTATATCTGCCCTGCTCCTCTTCTCTCTCTCTCTCTCTCTCTCTCTCTCTCTCTCTCTCTCTCTCTCTCTCTCTCTCTCATTTGTTTTTCTGACAGGGTTTCACTATGCAGTTCAGGCTAGCCTTAAACTCACTTTGTAGTCTAGGCTGGCCTGCCTCAGCCTCCCAAGTGCCAGAATAACAGGTGTGCACCACCATGCCTGGCTCCAATGCATTAATTAATTAATTAATTAATTAATTTGTAGCAGTGGCAAGGTACATTTAAGAAAGCAAAAATGAAGAGTGGGAGGGAAACTGGCTCTGCAGTGAGCTTGGACCAATAAATAGAAAAGGAGGATGAGAGCAAAGATAAAAGTATACACTGCACCTGGGAAACAGTATAGGCTATCAAAAAGTTATGATGGCCAATGGTATCTTTTTTTTTTTTTTTTTTGTCTTTTTCGTTTTTACCGGTACCAGGGATCGAACTCACGACTGCCTGCTTGCAAGGCAGGCGCTTATGCCGCTGAGCTAAATCCCCAGCCCCAGGCCAATGGTATCTTTTAATAAACATAGGGGCTGGGGATTTAGCTGAGCAGGATAAGCGCCTACCTTGCAAGCAGGCAGTCATGAGTTCGATCCCCGGTACCGATAAAAAAGAAAAAGACAAAAATAAAAATAAACATTTGGGGAGACCTTTTTTTATTTTGAAAGTAGTAAAAATGCAACAGGACAAGACAGAACAAAGCCAATTGAGACAATGCAGTGAAATTGGTACAGGATTTCACAGTAGGATACTGGATAGTAGTAATAGGTACTATGGTATATCTCTTTAACTTAACAATAGTTGTCCAGTCAATTAGGTATAGCAAAATCAAACCAAAAATAGAACATTATAAAACCAATTGAGAATACTGAATAGAGCTAAAGAAACAAAACAGTAAAAACAACCTTTGCCTTCAAACAGAAGATAGAAGGAAATCCCCCATATTTGCTATACTGCATATGGTCATCCTCCCAAGAGATGCTGAGACATCTATCCCCAGTAGCTTTGTGGGGAGGGAGCAGGCGGGGGAAGGGTGCTTGATTTTCAGCCCATGTGGCAGTAGGCTCACAGGTAATGGTTCTCCTCCAGGCCCTCGCTGGGGCACTTACCAAGAGGGCAGGTGAATAAGCTGCCTGAGTCCCACCATGTCCAGATCGGGAGTGCTGGTTCTTCTGGCCCTTGCCGCGACTCTTACCAAGAGGCAAGGCCTTTTCTTGTCTCCCTCCCTTCCCTTCTCCCCTCCTGCTGCCTCTTCCTCCTTCCGCCTGTCTCCCTTCCTCCTTTGTCTCACTATATACTCCACACTGACAATGAATTTGCTAAGTTGTCCAGGCTGGCCTCAACCTGGGGGTCCTCCTGTCTCAGCCTTCCGAGTACTGGTATCACAGACATGCACCACCATGCTTAGCTCTTTTTTAAACCATTCTTAAACAGTTTCCATGGATGATACAAGTCGTGATGTAGGGCTATTCCCCAGCATCAGATTCCTGCCCATGGTGACAACCAAAATCTGCCTCCCAGGAATCTCCAAAGACCCCCTGGCCAGTCAGAACAGGATCCTCACCTTGGACACCGGGGCAGTGACTCTACTTACCCTCCTGAGGCTTCTGTGTCCTCTCTTTACTGACCCTGCCTGGGGACAGGGAGAAGAAGACAGTTTAAAGTGCCCATGGTCCAGGCAGGTGACCAGCGTGTTCTGGGCCATCAGTGCTGGTGGACAGTGGGGACCAGTTGTTCACAGAGCAACAGAAACCCTTAAGGGGGTAAGAAGGGCAGAATGGGTTTGAGATCAAGGCAGCACCAGAGCTCTTGCCTAGCCAAGGCCGTAAGGCAACACCTGGTGCCACCAAGAAGAAAGAAGGATTGGAAGAGCAGGAGAAGGGGAAAAGGAGGCAGACAGCAGGCTCAGAGGTCAGAACCAGACTGTGGACCTCCAGCGTTGCCCTGGCTCCCACCCTTCTCAGCTGGGCACCTTCCAGTAATCCCCGAGCACTGCAGTTCTGCCCACAAAGTGAGTGATGCCAGTTAGGGTTGTTGTGACAACTATACTGGAACATTCACATAAAGTGATTATGCAAAGCATGGCACGTTGTAACTGCACGCCATTGTTTTTATGAAATAGCTGAGTAATGTGAACAAAAGAGCTAGGATCCTCACTTCATCCCAGCAGACTTCTCCCAATCTCATTACTCTCCTCCTCTGTACTTTGAGGTCCCACCACCTACTCTTCATGCCCCGCTCCCTTCTGTAGCCTCAGGAGTAACCCAGCCTCAGTACTTGTGCCACAGGAGTATCCACGGTCCAGACTGAGCTCCCAAGGAAGAGGGCAGGGGAGAGGGACTTAGTCGAAATGTATGAAATGAAACCCAATGTTTTGTGAAGTTCATAGGCACTAATTGCAACAAGAAAAATTAAATTTAAAAATAGCCAGGTGTGATGATTGCACATCTGTAATCATAGCACTCAGGGAGGCTGAGGTAGGAAGAGTACAAATTACCAACTTGGTCAAATTTATCAACCTAGTGAGAATCTGTCTCAAAAAAATTTTAAAAAGGCTGGAGGTGTAGCTCAGTGTGAAGGCCCTGGGTTCAAGCCACAGTACCACGAAAGTGAATAAAGTCGAGGAAAATTATTACTGGGTATTTTTTGAGACAGGATCTCAGAACCAGGCTGGGCTCATTTAAGCTTTTTAAAAAATTTTTAAAAATTATTTATTTATTTTTGGTACCAGGAATCAAACTCAGGACCTTAACTTTGCCAGGCAGGCACAGTGCCACTGGGCTGTACCTTGGTCATGGGCTCAAATTTAAGATCTAGCCGCGTACCAAGCATGGCTGATTGTGACTTTTTTTTTTTATCTTCGTGTTGGCTTTATGTAAGTTCACACACTTTAATTATTTCAAAAATGACTCATGCCATGAGGAAAGTATACCAGGATACATTTAAAAGGCAGAAAATAGGGGAGGGAGACGCTGATGGGCAGTTATGGTGGGGGCGTGGGGGCCTGGGGACTTGAAGCGAGGCATCCTGGAGAGTGGTCACCACAATGACGACAGGAGCAGGCTGAGGGAGCAGCGGTGGACTCAGACTGGGCGATGCTGTTGAACTCCACGCTGGTGGCGCTGGTGACACAGATGGCGGCGGTGCTGCTGGGCGCCTACCGGCTCTGGTGCACTGGGGACGACGAGGTGCAGGGCTCGGAGTGTCGGTGAGGAAGGCCCCAGGGGACCCTGCCACAGGAATTAGCCGGCATTCAGCTGCAACTGCTGAGTCAGTTTGAGGGGTCCGGCGCCTCGCGAATCCCACTCATAGTCACTGGGAAAGTCTTCCATGTACCTAAAGATAGCAAGTTGTGCCCAAGGCAGGGGAGCCCTGTGTAGCTGAGGCTGGAACTCGCAATGATCCTTCTGCTGGAATTATAGGCATGCACCACCATGTCCAGCAAGAGACAGGCATTTCTTAAACAGCAAGAAAGTCAGGAGGTTACTTTTAACCTCTCTCTCTGTCTGGCTCCAAAATGTATCAAAGACAATCAAATACATATTTGCTATTCAAGTATGCAAATCTCGAAAAACAAGAAGGGATCTGTAAAGGTTAAACGAGAGTTTGAGATTATTGGTATTACTCCTTTGAGATTTTCTATTATGGCATTGGGGAGGGGGCATTGTCTCCCACCCATTAAGACTAAGACTAAGACCACTACAGCTACTTAGACTAACACTAAGACTATGAGACTAAACACAAGACTATAGATTATCAACCATGGGGCTGGGGATTTAGCTCAGCGGCATAAGCGCCTGCCTGGCAAACGTGAGGTCATGAGTTTGATCCCTGGTACCAAAAAAAAAAGATTATCAGCTGCAGTTAATGATGTTATACATATGCTCGTGCTAACATTGGGTCATTATTACCTAGGTGGCTATACTTGAATCTTACAGGTTCATCATAATTTTGAAAAAGAAAGACTCCTATTTCACGTTATGTTTTAATGTTAGCAATAAAGAGAGAGGAGATCTGGTCAAAGGAGATGGGAGTTCCACATTGATTTGAGTAGTTTAGGCTAGTACAAAATGTAAATACCCGAATTTTTTTTTCTTTTTCTTTTCTTTTCTTTCTTTCTGAGACACAATCTCGCTAAGTAGCTCAGGCTAGCCTAGAACTCATGGTGATCCTCCTGCCCATGCACCACCATGCCTGGACCTTTGTTTTGGCTTTGTCAGGGAAAAGGAAAAAAAAAGGTGGGGAAGGATTTCAAGTAGATGGAGGTCAATGAAAATCCTTAACCAAGATTATCTGAAACCAATTTTACCCTTTCCCTTCCTTACCCTGATCAAATCAATATTATTGTACTTCCATAGACTTCTTTGAATAGACTCTATATGAATTTAGAAGTTACCACAGCAGCATTGAGACTGAAATTGGAATATTCTGTTGACCTCCAAAACCTTGATGTCTTTCTGTATATATAGAATTATTCAGTTCAACTGCCATATATATCGATATATACAAACTTAATTAGCATTGTAATGACAAACGCATTTCCCCATGTCTTCTCTTTAAAAACAAAACAAAACAAAACCTTAGGAAATCAAATCAATAGCTCTTATCCCCCACCAGCTGCCTGATGTTTAGGAGTCTCCTGCTCAGTGGTGTGGGTGTGTGGGGCTGCAGTCGGATAACTGTGTGTGTGTGTGTGTGTGTGTGTGTGTGAGTGAAAGAGAGAGAGAGAGAGAGAGAGAGAGAGAGAACCTTTTTTTTCATCTGCAGTCGGATAACTGTGTGTGTGTGTGTGTGAGAGAGAGAGAGAGAGAGAGAGAGGGAGAGCACCTTGTTTTTTTTTTTTTTTTTTTTTTTTTTTTTTTTTTTTCATCGGCACCAGGGATCAAACTCACGACTGCCTGCTTGCAAGGCAGGTGCCTATGCCGCTGAGCTAAATCCCCAGCCCCGAGAGAGCACCTTGTAAGGGACTCTTTTGACAGATACTATAATGGAAATACTGAGATAGGGGATTCTGTCTGAGAGAGAGACGGAAGGGGTCCCGAGTGCATTGCTAGGGACTCTGTCTTTTCCAGGGATTTTTTTTTTTTTGTCTTTTTCGTTTTTATCGGTACCAGGGATCAAACTCAAAGCTGCCTGCTTGCAAGGCAGGTGCTTATGCCTCTGAGCTAAATCCCCAGCCCTTTCCAGGGATTTTTATGGAGTAAAATCATGAGGTTAGCTGGGTTTAAGGTGGGGAAAAGTGGGAACCCAAAAGGCAGACTGGCATGATGTGGGACAGAGCTAATAGGGTCAACCAATAAGTTTAATTATTCAGGTAAAATAGACCAAGTCAGGGACAAATGGGGAAACGAGTAACATAGCAAGTGAGCATTCTTTACAGATCAGTGAGTCTTCTGGTAGGGGGTTGGGATGGTGACTGCTAGCTTCTCAAGGTGATCCACACCTAATCCCTAAAATTTATACTTAAGGGTGTGGTTGTGTTTTACCCTCAGTCTTGAGATGTGGTCCACAGCAAGAGGTGTGTGTCTCCTCCAAGGTCACAAGATATTTGGTCTTCTGTGCTGGTTTCCTCAAGGAAACCCAGCCCTGTCTGACTGCCTATAATGTTTCCAAGTAGCTCAGCAGCCTGTAACAGTACTATTTTAATAAGCATAAATCATATACAATAAACCAAAATAAGATGGTTGGAATTAATATGCAAAACTATAAGCCAGTGCATTATGATATGGCAAAAGATCGTGCATTTGATTCAAGATGAGGAAAACTGCCAGGTGTGGTGGCACATGTCCACCACTTGGGAGGCTAAGGCACAAGCATTGCTGTGAGTTCAAGGCCTTAAACTACATATTGAAACCCTGTCTCAAAAACAAAGCAAAACAAACAAACAAATAGATGAAGACAGTTTATTTAGAGGACAAAAAAAAGGATGGACAGCTGCTTTGGAAGAACGGGGGGGGGACATCAGAAGTGATTACATGCAATTTTGTCCTCAGTTTTTTATTTAGGACTAATGATTTCTCCCTTTCCCGATGTGGGCACCTGGAAGCTATCACCATCTGATTTGCTCTCTGGCTGTCTTTGCTTCTAACTTGTCTGATTTGCTCTCTGGCTGTCTTTGCTTCTAACTTGGGTACCTCTCTCTCTACATTCTTTCTGGTCATTTGATTTCTTTCTGTCTTCGTGATGGATGGGAGGCTCAAAGAAAGGTAATTTAGAGTTAAAAATTAAATAAGCATGCACACGTGTGTGTATATATGTAGGTGTGTTTCACATATTAAATAAGAGTCTATAGGTGGCTGCCCCTTGTCTCCTGTGCATTTTATCAGAGGTAGATGAGGGGGCTGGCTTCCTCCTTGCTTTGTTAACACTTTCTGATAAATCTTATGGTAACTGTGTACCCTGGCACCTCTCTCTTCTCTCTTGGTTCTCTCCTTTGTGTTTCTAACTGCTCTAACTGTAGAGTCTACCTGTAGAAGCAGAAACTGCTTTTCATAAGAATCCTCATTAATTTTATTTATTTATTTATTTATTTTGAGACAGGGTCTCACCATGTAGTCCAGGCCAGCTTCGAACTTACTTTGTAGCTCAGGCTGTCCTCTAACTTGTAGAAACAAGGTCTTTTCTATCAAAAATATAAACAAGAGACCATCTCCATGTTGGACTCTAGCCTGCCCCAGGCATGAAAACAGCTACAAGCTAAAGATCTCTCATCAACAGCCAAGAATTTTCTGTTCTCCACATCCCCTCAGGCTCTTCCCTTCAGCAACCCTTCAGACCTGCTTTGTGCGCTAAAACTAGCCAATCAGAATAGAGTATGAACTTTCAACTCAGTCAATGAGGAAAAGGTCAGCTGCTTCTCCTACCTTAGGGATAAAGGAGGCCACTTCCTTTTGTCTTATGCACCTGCTACTGCACGCTTGTGCCCTTCTGAGGGAGTAAAAACTTTGCCTTGTTGAGATCTCTTGCTTTGTGTCTGAGTGCAGTCTTTCAGGCACTAACTATTTGAGTATGGTGACTTATTTCCAACAAAGTCACAGAAATCCTCCTGCCTCAGCCTCCCGAGTGCTGCACCACCATGCCCAACCCCATTAATTTTTAATATAATCTATATTTTTCCCTGCTTTTCCCTACACCCTCTCATCCTCTCATCCCTATTTTCAGCAATCCTGGTCAGGCTTTGGCCTCCCTCACACCAGTATTTTAAACACTTTCACACCCCTCTTTAATTTTTTTTTTTTTTTTTTGTCTTTTTGAGACAGAGTCTCACTGTAAAGTTCAGGCTGGCCTTGAGCTCACTTTGTAGCCCGGGCTGGGCTTGAACTTGCAATGATCCTTCTGCCTCAGCCTGCTGAGTGCTGGGATTATAGACATGGGCCACCGAGCCCAGCTTCTTCTTTAATTTTGAACCAACTCTCAGCACCTGACCAAGCAATTGAGTGGAGCCGGAAAATTTCTGGCTTCTGATAGGTCCATGACTGAATATATAAGAGTAAAAGACACATCTCTATTCTTGCACTGGAAGCTCCCATTGATGGCTTCTTCGGGTCATGCGCAGTAGATGAGTATATAGGCCTTGGGGGTTTGGCATTGTGTATCCAAATACTGCCTCCTTGAGTGTGCCTCTTCACCAGTAAAGAGATACAAAAGGTGCTTAGGGTCTGAGGCTAGTGAGAGCACATGCTGAGACTTCCATCTAACCTCTGTAACCCAGTAAGAGGTCTCAGTTAGGCTGTGACTATTACTTTTTTCTGTTGTTGTTTTCTCACTTCTTTTTATTTTTGGTACCAGGGATCAAACTCATATATGTTTGTCAGGTAGGCGCTTATGCTGCTGAGCTAAATCCCCAACTCTATAGTCAGTTCTCAACTTTATGTATTCTCTAGTCTCACAAAATAAATAACAAGCTGGGCTTGGTGGTGTACCTCTTTAATTCCAGTATTTAGAAGACAAGCAGGAGGATTTCGGCTTCAGAGGCAGCCTGGGCTATGTATCAAGACTCTGTCTCAAAAATAAACTGTGTTGTTTGTGTTTGGATTGGAGTACAGTGGTTTGATTATCTTGAAACCATAAACCTGAGTATTTTGTGGTCTTCAGATACAATGTTATTTCTCTGACTAAACAAGTACAAAGGTTGTAGCCATTTTAAAAACTGTTAGCTGAGTAATGTGGCGCACACCAGTGCTCCTAGCATTCTGGGAACCTAAAGCATAAAGATCACAAGTTCTAGCACAGCCTGGGCGAATTAGTGCCTTTACAAGACCTGTCTCAACATTTAAGGAGGCAGGGGTAGAATTGTTGCTCAGTGCAAAGGTTCTTGGCTCAATCCCTTGAGCCTGAATAAATTAATAAAAATAAACTGTAAGCCAGGCATGGTGCCAAACACAGCTGTAGTCCCAGCCCTCCTGAGAGTGAGGCAGGAGAATTGCTACGAGTTCAAGGCCAGCCAGGGCAAAAAAGTGAGCCTAAAAGCTATTTACACTACAAAGCAAGACTCTGTAGTCTTACTACAGAGGGGAAAGTTATAAAGTAAGTGTGAGAGGGCAAGCTTGTATTCCCAGCACTTTGGAGGTTTAGGCTGGAGAACTGAAATTTCGAGCCTAACACAGGCACTTAGCTGTTTAGCTAGACCATGTCTTATTTATTTAAGCATTTATTTTTGAGACAGGATCTTGCTATGTAGTTCAAGTTGGCCCTGAACGCACCATGATATAGCCCAGGCTTGCCTTGAACTCAGCCTCCTGAGTGCTAGCATTCTAAGTGTGTGCCACCATCGTAGCAGCTGTCTGATTTATTCCTGAGATAGGGTCTTGCTTGCACTTTTTAGGCTGGTCTTGAAGTATGTAGACCCAGACAAGTTGCTAGCTGGCAATTTGTGGTGATCCTTCTGCTTTAACCTTCTAAATCCTGGGATTATAGGAATGTGCCACCGCCAAGCCTGGATCCTCTCATTTTTCTTTTTAAAACAGAGTCTGTGTAACCCAGGCTGCATTCAAACTCTTAGCAATCCTCCTACCTCAGCTGCCCCAGTACTGGGATTGTAGGTGTGTGGCACCACACCCAGCTTTAGACCATTTTAAATTAAAAATAAAATAAAATAAAATAAGCCTGGAAGAGATGGAGGGAGGGAGAGGAAGGACAAAGGGACAAAAAAATTAAGATGTATTCAGTGCATGTACCACATTCACCACAGTGAATGTATCCAATATATGCTTCAAATATGTACTAATAAAAATAAGAATTTAAAATAAAAGAATTATTCAACTGCCCAAATAATAAATGAAATTATGGTGATAATTACTAGAGATTCATAAAAGGTTTTTTTAAGCAATTATGCACCTTAACTACATAAGTGTCTATAATCCAGATTTGGCAAACATTTTTTATGGTCTTCCTAGCTACAGGGAAGGCTAAGGTAGTGATACAGATTAGAATGAGGCAAAATTGACTGCAGAAGTAGGTGTCACTATTAATTACAAGATTCTAGGGGCTGGGGATTTAGCTCAGCAGCATACGCGCCTGCAAGTGTGTGGTCATGAGTTCGATCCCTGGTACCGATAAAAAAGAAAAAGACCAAAAAAATTACAAGATTCTAGAACATATGTGTAGAAAATTCCCATAACCTCGCACATGGACTTCTTGTGAGAATTCAAGCAGGTTTTCAATAGGATGCCGAGACCTGATGTCAACCTGAAACTTGGGATCCCAGCATCACCTTTCAGGACCCGTATATAGATGTTTTCATGGGTTTCCTCAAAATTTGGACGGCACCTATAATCCCAGTGCTCAGGAAGCTGAGGCAAGAGGATCACTGTGAGATTGAGGCTAGCCTGGGCTACAAAGCAAAACCCTGTCTTGGGTGGTGGTGATGGGGAAAGGCACAGATGCCAATAAGAGCTTGCTGTCATTGCTTTCCTCACAATATCCCACCCTTCGTCCTCTATCTCCAGAAAGAGAGGTGAGCAAGAGCCTAGTAACCTTTCTTTGGTGAGCCACTTTTAGAAGGAGCTACCCAATAATAGTAAGACCTTTTTTTTTTCTACCATGTAGCTCAGGCTGGCCTTGAACTGTCAACAATCCTCCTGCTTTAACTTCCCATGTGCTGGGATTACTGGCAGGCCACCACATATGGTTTAAAAAATTTATAAAGGATTCCCTTCAAGGCACACTATGGACATATAATATTTTTTTTGCAGAAGTGGGAATTGAATCTGAGTCTTTGCACTCAGCTACATCCTCAGTCATTTATAATTTTTTTTTAACATTTTGAAACAGGGTCTCACTTGGTCACTAAACTTCCCAGGTTGAGCTCAAACTTTTGGTCCTGTGCTTGAGCCTCCCAGAGTGCTGGGATCATAGGAGTGTGACACCATGCCTGGGGGTATCCAACTGTAATACATGATTATTAGTCTGAACAACTAAGTCAGATAATGCTAATTTGAAACATAGAAACAGCATTCTTCAAGACTTGGAAAGAAAAGACATATAACAGTATCTTTTATTGATGCTACAAGTGGAGAAATGTTCACATGCATCTTGTTTTATTTAATTATTTATTTATTTAGGTACCAGGTATTGAACTCACAACCTCGTGTTTGCCAGGCAGGTACTTATGCTACAGAGCTAAATCTCCTGCATATCTTGTTTTAAAAAAATGCAATTCATCAATACCACAATTTTTCTTTTCTTTATTTTTGCCTTTCTGTATTTTGTTTCATTTTGATTCTAGCTTTTTTTTAAGACGGGGTCTCACTCTGTATTCCACGCTGGACTTGAACCCACAATGTAGCCCAGAATTTGTAGCAATCCTTTTTCAGCCTCCAGAGTTCTGGGATTATAGCCATGGACCAACATGCCCAGCAAGCTTGGTTTATGAATGAGAAAACTGAGCCTCTATATGCCCAAGTGAAAGATTTAAAGTCAAACTCAAATTCCAAAGCTCCAGCCCTAGCTGGGCATGGTGGCACAAACCTATATAATCCCAGCACTCAGGAGGCTGAGGCAAGATGATCATTTCCAGCTCAAGACCAGCCTGGGCTACAAAGTGAGCTCAAGGAGGGCCTGAAATGTCCACTCCAAACAAATAGATAACTGAATTGAATTAAATTGGCTCTGGAACATGAGGAAATGAAGAAAGAAGAAAGCTTGAAGATTGGCTTTGCTGAGGAGTCAAATGGAACCATCGCTATGAGAATATACAGGACCAAAATTCGCAAATACTGGGTGTCCCTGGGTATCAAGTGAAAAAACCTAGAGTCCTATCAATAGGAAAGGACTGAACAATGCTACACTTAATTGGTAAAATATAAGCCAGTTAAAAAGGATGAGCTAAATAGATGTAATATTTTTTATCAGATGGACACTTTTCTAGATGTAATATCTTTATATACTAATGAAGCATCAAGACAATAGTTCCAAACAAAAACTAAAGGATGGGGCCTGGGGAATTAGCTCAGCGGCATAAGCACCTGCCTTGCAAGCAGGCGGTCATGAGTTCAATCCCTGGTACCGATAAAAATGAAAAAGACAAAAAAAAAAAAAAAAAAAAACTAAAGGATGGGTGGATTGTATCAGTGTCAATATCCTTATAACTGTATGTGAATCAATAGTTATCTCAAAAAACAGTTTTTTTGGTCTTTTTGCGACAGGGTCTTGCTGTGCAGTTCAGGCTGGCCTTGCGCTCATTTTGTAGCCCAAACTGGTCTCAAATTTGCAAAGATCCTTCTCCTTCAACCTCCTGGATTACAGGCATTACAGGTGTGCCCGATTTATCTCAAATTTTTAAAATTTAAGAAATACAAATCGGGTGTGGTGGTGTACCACTGTAATTGAAATACTCTTGATGCTGAAGCAGGACTGCCAGAGCTGAAGGCCAATCAACCTAGGCCACCTAACGAGTTCAAGGCCAGCCTGAAACTACATAGCTGGACCCCCGTGTCAAAAAAATTTTTTTTAAATTTACAAAAAGAGAGAAATAGCTGGGGATTTAGCTCAGCGGCATAAACGCCTGCCTAGCAAGCGCGAGGTTGTGAGTTTCACCCCCCCCCAGTACAAAAAAAAAAAAAAGGAGAAATACTTCCAGTATGTACATAATCTGACACCGCCCCCTTCTTTGGCATCCAGGTACCTTTTACCATTAAAAAAAATTTTTTCATTTTGTAACTTAAACAAGGCTGAGACTGGGTGTGGTGGCGCACGCTAGTAATCCCAGACCTCTGGAGGCTGAGGCCGAGGATCACAGTGAGTTCAAGGTCAAGCTGGGCTAAAGTAAATTCAAGGCCAGCCTGAATGCATAGCAAAACCCTGTCTCAAAAAAAAAAAAAAAAAAAAAAAAAAACAAAAAAAAAAAAAAAAAAAACAAGGCTAAGGATAGGAACATCTCACCCTTACCTTCCCTAGATCAAGGCGATAAAGGCTCCAGCCGCTCTAAATCCACTCCCGCCTGGAGCCTTCCAAAGCTGCCTCCTTAAATCTTGAACAACTGTTTTAAAAGCAACAGCAGGTCACTTCTCTAGTCCAATCCGAGGACCAAATGTCATTAGCCTGGAAGGGAGGTTAACACCTCTGCCTCTCTGTGGGTTAACAAATTGAAGTCTCCGCCTTTTTCTGGTACTGCGGGGAAAGCCCTCTCTTCCGTCCCTTTCACCTCGCTCAGTCTCGCCCTCGGGGAGCTGTCGCCACTTGCCGACCTCACTGTGCCCCCGGAGCCCGCCTAGGAAAATCCTGCAATTGAGCGGGCTGTTTCTAAGACCTGTGAATTGACAAGTAGGGCCGTGGCCAAGTTTTTCGGCTAAGATGTCACTTCCGTACACAGATTTTCTCCCCCGGAAGTGGGGCCTGATGTAAACACAAGGGCCGAGCGCCGAAGCACAGAAGGTCAGCAAACCCGGCAGCGCGGACTGCACCGACTGTTGGGTCCGGGTCCAGGAGTTCAGGTAGGTGCAGCTGGAGGGGAGCTGCAGCGTGATCCCAGGGTTGGTCGCGGTCGGGGTGGAGGGTGATCTTATGCAGATAGATGTTGGTAGATGGGGTCTGCGACAAAAGTCCTGAGTGGCAGGATGGGAATACTCTTGGCAGAGAGTGGAGGCAGCTCAGATAGAGTTCATGGGTGGTGCAGGAATTTGGAATGGACGTCTGAAAACATTTTTTGGAAGGTCGACCTGTCAAAAATATGGATCTTGGGGGTCCAGCTGTCAAGTGGAGGATGTTACAGCCCGGAAAGTTAGGAGCTTTGGGCTCTCAGTGGATGAGCAGGGAGTGCACATAGATTTGAAGGAAGGGTTGGGGCTCTAGGACAGGAATCTCGAAGGGAGAACAACAGCAGACATTTTACAACTTTGAAGCTTTCCTAGATAGGAGTTTTGGGTGATATGCCTTGGACAAGGTCATAAGATAGGTGTGCTCTGAGGGTATGGTCTTAGGGAGAAGAAATGGTTCTAGAGAAGGTACCTTAGGGGAAGTGCTTCCTGGGGATGAGCCTCGGCCAGCTCATGTAGAAGTCAGGGACAGCAGATCAGAGGGAGTGTCAAGCAGGAGTGGAAGACTTAGTTACTGGGGAATGCCCAAATAGGGTCTTTTTAGGGGAAGCAGCCAATGCTGGTCTTGGTGGACAAAGTTAGCAAGGGGTGAGAAGGGACTTGGGGAAGCTGTGATCTAGGAATGAAGGTGGATGAATGAGTTAGGGCAGTTAAAAGGATATGGAGGGGGAGTTCTTGGAGGTGGTGGGCCATGCATAGCAGTCTCAGGGAAGTGGGAGAGAGATATCTTAACACTCCCTTTTTTGTGTGTGTTTTTGAGACAGGGTCTCTCTGTGCAGTTCAGGCTGGCCTTGAGCTCACTTTGTAGCCTAGGCTGGTCTCGAAGAACTCAAAACGATCCTCCTGCCTCAGCCTCCTGAGTGCTAGGATTACAGGCATGAGCCCCCCACCCCAGCTTTTAATAATGACCTTTTTTTTTTTTTGGTACCAGGGATTGAACTCATTACCTTGTGCTTGCCAGGCAGGGACTTACACCACTGAGCTAAATCCCTGGCCTCCACTCTCCCTTTATTTACTGAAAGGTGGAGTTCAGGGTTAGGTGTAGGCATGAAGATAAGTAGGGTTGGGGTTGGTAGTGTATGCATATAATCCCAGCACTTTAGGAGGCTGAGACAGGAGGATCACCATGAGTTTGAGGCCAGCCTGGACTACGTAATGACAGTCTCAAAAAAGAAAAAAAGTGGCTAGCCAGTGGCTTAAGGTCATGTCAGGTACTGGGACCAAGATTGACTGAGGATGGGAAGTAGGTATTGTCACTGGGGCATCCTCTAAGCCCCTGAAGAGTCACTAATTAGCATTGTCAAAGGAAGTAGGGAGGGTCCTAACATAGGCTTGGACTTGGTGCTGCCAAATGCAAAAAAATGTGGTGTTCTTGGCTGTTTTGTTTGGGGTCTTAGAAGCTTAGGGCAGGGGCTGGGGATTTAGCTCAGCGGCATAAGCGCCTGACTTGCAAGCAGGCAGTCGTGAGTTCAATCCCTGGTACTGGAAAAAAAAGGAAAAAGACAAAAAAAAAAAAAAAAAAAAAAAAAGGAAGCTTACGGCAGACACCAGATTCTCTAATTTTGTCTCTGCAGTCTAGAAAAGAAACTAGGAGTAGAGAAGAGAAAAAAATCACTTGGGGACAGAAGTTCAAGGACTTGAAGGGAACACTTCAGGACTCTTCCAGGAAAGAAGTCTGAACCATGACTCAGCAGCCACTTCGAGGGGTCACCAGCTTACGTTTCAACCAAGACCAAAGTGAGAAAGACTTAAATTTGTACCCCTATGGGAGGGAGAGAAGGGTCACAGGTAGGCCCTTCCATGGCGTTCTCTAAGCCAGTCTGGATTCCTTCCATCCCCAGGCTGCTTTTGCTGTGCTATGGAGACAGGTGTGCGCATCTACAATGTGGAGCCATTGATGGAGAAGGGGCATCTGGGTGAGCTACCTGCTGGGGATGGGGCAGTGGGCAGAAGGGCTGGGGTGGGCATTGGTGCCCCACCTCCACTGACACCCTGGTCCCTGTCCAGACCACGAGCAGGTGGGCAGCATGGGCCTGGTAGAGATGCTGCACCGCTCCAACCTGCTGGCCCTGGTGGGCGGTGGTAGCAGTCCCAAGTTCTCAGAGATCTCAGGTAAGTGCCCTCATGCCGGCCCCTGACCTAGATTCCTCAGATTCCTTCCCTCCCACAGGAACCTGCCCTACTGGCAGAGGAAGATGGCAGAGCTCCTCTGAGTCCATACATCTTAAAGTTTGAGCTTGGTGTTTTGTTTTTATTTAAAAAAAAACATATTTTTAGTCTAGGGGTGTAGCCCATTGTTAGAGCTCTTGCCTGGCATGTGGCCCTGGGTTTGATCCCCAACACTACAAAGACAATAAAACAAATTATCAATTGCCTCTGTATGCCATGTTGTTCCCTATGGAACACTAGTTGTGAATGTCATACTATTCTATGCACTTTGCATGTATCCATTGGTTTACTCCTCATAATAACTATGTATCAGACTTGGTTTACTCCTCATAGTAACTATGTATCAAGCTTGGTTTACTCCTCATAGTAACTATGTATCAAGCTTGGTTTACTCCTCAATAGTAACTATGTATCAGGCTTGGTATGTGCTAAGCGCAGACTGCCGGCTAAACCACACTGCTCCCCCACTCCATTATCCCCATTTTACCAATGAGAAAACTGAGGTCCAGTGGGGTTAAGTTTTAGTTTTTTGAGACAAGGGCTTGCTTAGTAGTCCAGGCTGACCTCAAACTGGTGGTGAGTCACTTGCCTCAGCCTCCTGGGTTTACAGACATGCATCACAGTGTCCAGTGAGTGAAGTTAACTGATTTATTCAAAATCACACAATCAAGCCAGTCTGCAATCCCAACACTCAGGAAGCTGTGACAGGAGGATCACTGTAAGTTTGAGGACAGCCTAGGCTACAGTGAACTGCAAATTGAGACCCTGTCTTTCTCCCTGCTCCACACACACAAACATCATACAATCAATAGATTTTCAGTTCTTGGAAGTGTCTCTCCAAGACTCCCATTGGCTTGAGCCTCAAGTATCATTCTGCTTTAAGGATTTTTCTTGTGGATCCCACTGAAACATGACAAGAGTTGTCCTAGGTGAGTCATAGACCCTAGGATTCCTCCCAGAAATCTCCTGGGGGTACGGACTGGAACCCTGGAGGCAGAAATGATTACTGAGGGGAAGTTACAGGCATGGGCATGTGTCCCTACTTTGTTGGTAATGGGTGGTAAGGTCCCTGGCCAGACATTCAACCCCTTTAAACCTCAGTTTCCTCATCTCCACTTAGCCATAACAATTTTAGCACCTCTTCTCTCAGGGATCGTGTCCATAGCGTTCATTCTGTGCCGGGCTCAGTGGATGGTTAGTGAAATTTCAAGCAAGTGGGTTAAGGTCCCCTGGGGAGTAGGGGTAGGTTTCCTGTCATCAGGACTGCCCCTTACCCTAAACTTTGGCCCCACCAACCTACCCACCTGCCCAGCAGTGCTGATCTGGGATGATGCCCGGGAAGGCAAAGACTCCAAGGACAAATTGGTACTGGAATTCACCTTCACCAAACAAGTGTTGGCTGTGCGCATGCGCCATGACAAGTAAGCCTAAAGAGGACAGGGGTGGAGCCAGGGAGGTTCCCACATCAAGATTAGTCCTGCCTTGGCAGCCCACTCTCCCTCATGGTCTCTGTGTTGTATGATATCCACAGGATCGTGATCGTGCTGAGGAACCGAATCTATGTGTACTCCTTCCCTGACAATCCCCGAAAGCTGTTTGAGTTTGACACCCGCGACAACCCCAAGGGTGAGGTCTCGATGTGCAGGTGTAAGGGGGAGACCATGGGCAGGGCAAAAGGGTAGAGATAAGGAAAGAAGGAAGGAGCACATACCCAGAGATACTGGAAGGGGGGCCAGGAAAGAGGCTCTGTGCACAGAGATGCTCAAAAGGACTGAAAGATGCAGTCTATCCCTCTTTTCCATCCGTCAGTCCTCTTTCCCCACCCTTGGCCCTGCCCCTCCTCAGTGCCCCAATGACAGAGCAGAAACACCTGGTGAGGACACAGGTGAGCATGGAAAGCAGCTCTGGGTCTCCATGGCTGGCCCAGCAGCTTATTAAATCAGGTGTGTGGGGCAAATGGGCTTTGCCCAGCAAAGAGAAAGCCTGCCCCCCAGCGGCTTCTGTAAGTACCATGTGTCCTTTCTGAGACCTTGCCTGGCCTCTGCCTTTCTTCCTCGTGCCAATCTGCTCTACATCCTCACCCTAGGGCTCTGTGATCTCTGTCCCAGTCTGGAGAAGCAGCTGCTTGTGTTTCCAGGACACAAGTGCGGAAGTCTACAACTTGTGGTGAGCTGTCCAACAGACAAGGGTGGGCAGGCAGGTGGGCTGGCTCTCCTTCTGGACCCACGGCCCCTCCCCTCCATGCCATCCCAACCCTGAACTGCCTCCTACCTCAGGACCTGGCAAGCACAAAGCCTGGCACCTCATCTGCTCCATTCACCATCAATGCACATCAGAGTGATGTTGCCTGTGTGTCTCTAAACCAGTCAGGCACTGTAGTGGCCTCTGCTTCCCAGAAAGGAACCCTTATTCGCCTTTTCGACACCCAATCCAAGGAGAAACTTGTAGAACTGCGCCGAGGCACTGACCCTGCCACTCTATATTGGTGAGCCCAGGATGTATGTAGTGGGCACTGACCCTGCCACTCTATATTGGTGAGCCCAGGATGTATGTAGTGCGCTAGTGACCCCATGGCACATGTCATATGGGTGTCACTGCTGATCTCTCTTCCAGCATCAACTTCAGCCATGACTCCTCCTTCCTCTGCGCTTCCAGTGATAAGGGCACTGTGCATATCTTTGCTCTCAAGGATACTCGGCTCAATCGCCGCTCTGCGTGAGTAACCCAACCCCACCCTGTGACGTCCCCAGCCCCCTGTCCATATATCAGCCTTACCCAGTGCTGCCTGCAGGCTGGCTCGTGTGGGCAAGGTGGGGCCTATGATTGGGCAATACGTGGACTCTCAGTGGAGCCTGGCGAGCTTCACTGTCCCTGCTGAGTCAGCTTGCATCTGTGCCTTTGGTCGCAATACTTCCAAGAACGTCAACTCTGTTATTGGTGAGTGGGAATAGCCTGTTGGTTGGGAAGGGGGTTTGTGTGAGCAAATGCCTGCAAGTTTGACCTGAAAGAATTTGAGGGCCACTAGAAGCCAAGGGAGTTGCAAAGTATGGCTTAACTTCCATCATCAGTAAGGGGTATGGCACTTGGGCAAAGGCCAGAAGGTAAACCTTAGGCCATGGGACACTCGAGAGGACTGGGGGGTGTGCAGGTGTGGCAGCTCCTAACCTTTTACTACCACCCCCTCAGCCATCTGCGTAGATGGAACCTTCCACAAATATGTCTTCACTCCTGATGGGAACTGCAACAGAGAGGCTTTCGACGTGTACCTTGACATCTGTGATGATGATGACTTTTAAGAACTTTGGTCAATCCCCGGTACCGAAAAAAAAAGAAAAGAAAAATTGGGGGTCTGTGCTAGGAACTTACAGTCACAGACTGCAGAGTTGAGCCTTGGGTATGGAGAAGTGCTGTGGAAGTCACCAACCAGAAAGCATTAATGAGGCTTGAGCCCACTTTCCACTCAGGAAAGCTTTGTCTAAACCAATAGCTTGCGTCCCTCAAGCACTTGATTATTGTATGCTGGAAGAGCCAGGCCAGTGATCCAGGCAGGTAGCAGATCCCTGGCACTCCTATCCTGGAAAAAGACAGCCAAGTAGCCAGAGAAAGTGTCCTAATCCTACCTTGAGATTTAAAAAAGCTTACCAGAGATGAATTCTGATATGATGAATTATGAATAAAAGGTCCCTAATGGCATTTATGGCTTAACCTCAGGGGTGGGGCGTGGAGTTTCAATGAGAGGTGTGACCCTCTTGACGCCTGACAGGAAGCAGAATCCAACTCTGATCCTTGTGAGAGCCCTTGTTGCTTTATCTCTGCCAGTCTGGCTACCGCATGCTTGAACCGCCGGCACCGTCCAGTGCAATCCACCCCGGGGTTTGAAGAAGTTTGAAGATTTAAGCTACTAGCAGCCGGACAGAGCTTTGATTTCCCGACAGTCCTTGCGGCCCCACTGCGTGGCGCGTTACGTGCCTTCCCGATCACGTGCGCTGCCGCATCTGCGCAGTCTACCTGGGGGAGGAGGGGTTAGTGGTTCGGCCCAGACTCTACTTCCCAGTGTGCTTCGCGATGCCTCAGGGTGTAACGGATGTTGCAGTCCGGCCGCCCCCGGGCTGGTCCAGCAAGCAACGGGATGTCGGAGGTGCGGCTGCCACCGTTACGCGCCCTGGACGACTTTGTTCTGGGTTCGGCGCGTCTGGCAGCTCCGGATCCGTGCAACCTGCAGCGATGGTGCCACCGCGTCATCAACAACCTTCTCTACTATCAGACCAACTACTTTCTCTGCTTTGGCTTCGGTCTCGCTATAGCCGGGTGAGGGAGGAAGGAAGGGAGTTGGTGGTTGGTGGGCTGGTGACACCAGTGCCATGGCGGGAGTGCCCCGCGGACCCTTGAGGACCAGAAGGAGGAACCTAGGAAAATGCTAGGCCAGGAAGGTCAGATTCAGTAAAAATGGAAAAATCCTGAGGGGCATAAAAAAAGAGACAGGTCCTTCTGAGTATGAGGGGCTTCTGGGAATGAAGGGTGTAGAGGGAAGACCTGGAAAGGTTGGAGAGAGTGGAACTAGAAGAGAAAGTGGGCTGGGAGGTGGGCCTGAAAGGAAGACATGCCTTCTTAATAAGGTGACGTGAGGTCAAGATTAAACCATCTCTGGAGAACAGAGGCAGGGACATGGACGTGGTAAAAACTGAAGGGTTAGGAACGTGGACTGTTAGAGTATCGAGTGTTGGAGGGAAGCCTGTCTGTGATGAGAGCATGCCAGAAGCGGATACGTGTTGGAAAACTTGAGCCCAGAGGGAAAAATCTGGATTGAAAAGTTTGAGACCAGAGAGATGGAGGGTCTAGAGAATGGAGTTGGTCAGCTCTATAAGTTAAGAGTGGGACCAAAAGCCTGGCAACATTGTAGTAATGCTTCAAGGAGGGATCTATAGGTAAATGGGAGTCGTGTTGGGGAAAAAGAGGGCTCTTAGAAGGGGGTCATTTTAGGACGATGGGCCAGGAGAGCTGGAAATGCGTGGAGCTTGGAGGCCTGGGTGAGGGGTCTGCAGATGCTGGCTCAAATGGAATATGTTGAGGCAGATGGAAGGTTGCTAGAGTAAAGCCCTGCAGGGTAGCAAAGACCAGGGAACTGCCAGGAGCTCTCGTATCTAGAATGGGAGGACCTGAAGCAAATACTTAAAGAAAATGGGGTGCCGGGCGTGGTGGCTCACGCCTGCACTCGGAAGGCTGAGGTGGGAGGATCGTTGCGAGTTGGAGACCAGCCTGGGCTACAAAGTGAGCTCAAGAACTGCATAGCGAGACCCAGTCTCAAAAAAAAAAAAAAAAAAAAAAAAAGCGCTGTAGGATGGAAGCACAAGAAATGAGAATCCATAGGAATCCCCTTGGAGGATGTCCCTGTTTGTGATGGGGATGGTGGGAATATTTGTGGGTTGATAACCCAGAAGTGGAAAAGCAAAGCTTTTGGTGCTCAGGATTGGGGGGGGAGGGGTGACAAGGCTAGCTTAGCGCCCTTGTTCCCACAGGTATGTGCGTCCGATGCATACCCTTCTAAGCGTGCTGGCAGTGCTGATGACCCTTGGCGTGCTTGTGTGGGCGGCTGAGACCCACACAGCAGTGCGACGCTGCCGACGCAGCCACCCTGCTGCCTGCCTAGCTACGGTTCTTGCCGTTGGTCTCCTCGTTCTCTGGGTTGCAGGCGGCGCATGCACCTTCCTGCTCAGCATCGCCGGGCCGGTGCTTTGTGAGTCTCTACTAACTCCTGAGATGCCTGGTTAAATGGGCAACACTTAAGACGCCAGGCCGGCCCATACAGATTCTTGGTCTGAGACAGGGCTGGGAAACCCAGAGGGTGGCTCCGTTAAATGCTTCTTTTCTGCCTCACCCCCCACCTCCTCCTTTCTGTAACACTCCTCTTAATTAGTGATTTTTTGGGGGGTCTCCTGGTGTTAAGTATCTGGCCTCACCTCCACCACTCAGCCTTACTTCAGCTGCCCACTACTCTACTGGCCTGTCTGTGAGCCAGTTCCCTTCTGTGGGCCCCGATTGGCTGCGAGCTGAAGCCCCACCCCACTGATCCCACTCCTCTTCGTACCACCCACAGTGATCCTGGCGCATGCCTCCATACGTCTTCGAAACCTTAAAAACAAGATTGAGAACAAAATTGAGAGCATTGGTCTCAAGAGGACGCCAATGGGGCTGCTACTAGAGGCGCTGGGACAAGAACAGGAGGCTGGATCATAAGGGTCTGGGACCTGCACCCAGGACCTGAAGAAACCCCCACCCGTACCCTGCCCTTACTCAGGACCCAGAACCCTTTCCCAGCCTTTATAATAGGAGTCAAGAGCACCCTGGCCAGTCAAAAAGACAGGACATCAGTGATTTACACCCCGGTTTATAATTAGGGTATTATTCATGCCCAACTCTCCTCTTATCTAGGGACTAATGTTCTACAACCCTGAACTTGGGACCCACAGCCACCTACATCCAGCCTCAGGCCTTGGGCTTGGTACTAGAAAATCTATGGCCAGTCTCAAACCATGGACCTAGAGGTATTTACCAAGATTCTGGGACTCACCAGCCTCCCATGTTCAGCACCAAACTAGGGCCTGGGGCAAGCCATTCACAAATCTTGGTCTTATTAGACCAAGGCTTTTCCAAGCTCCAGCCCAGCTTCAAATCTAGACTCCCAAAGTGTCCTCCCTTACTGGGTGGAGTCACGTATCCCGACTATTGAACCAGGTGACCCCAACCCTCAACAGTCTCAGTTGCCTTGCGCTGTTTAAGAGGTTTTGCCCCTAATGTTCCACAGTGTCAAGGACCAAAGGGTGGGGAGTGGGGTAGCCGCATCAGTGTTACTGCAACAATAAAGTCGCATCTCTCAAGCTAGTTTGGGCTCCTGGCTGAAGTCCTTGTGCATTTCAATGGACAGGGTGGCCTGCTTTTCAATGCAGTTGAACTCTACTTGACTTTCTATGTGAGTGGGAGGGCTAACCTCGGGTTTTTCCTAAAATCTGTTACTTCTGGATCAGCACAGGGTATAGTGTATGGGAAGTAGCTCAGTGGCACCATGCTTACCTACCATGTGAGAAACCCTAGCATCTCACACATACATGCACACGCATGCAAACAAATGGAGTTGAGGTAGACTAGGAATCTGAGTACAAGCAGGCAAAGAAGTTGCTCCACCTCACAAGGAAGGACTAAACAGATGGCATTACCTGGCTTTTTCCACAGAGCTTTTTTTCACCGAGGCCCAACTAGCCCATCCTACAGTGTTCTTCCTGCAAAATGTATTATCTGAACTAGAAGTGTGTGCCCCTGTGGCAAAGCAGACAGGAGCAACACAGGGGTTCAGTTTACACATTTATTATAGAAATCCCCTTCCAGTGTGGGTAGTGTATTGGGCCCAGATCCACTGGTACAAAAACAAGTTTAACACCAGATTAAAGGGGGTAGGGGAACCCCCCGGCTCCATAAAGTCACAGATAGGTATAGAAAACAGTTTGTATAGATTTGTTTAAAAAGTGGTGAATGTAAGGAAAGCCAAGGAGGATGTGACGTGGTCATGGCCAGACGTCACCTGAGGATTTTACTGGCATCTACCAGATACTAGGTGCAACCACCACAGCATCTCGGGATGCAACACACCTGATGGCTCTACCCTTTGTCAACCTCCTGTGGGGCCTCCTGATGGGATGGTGGGCACACAGGCTGAGAGAGGGACAGGGGCTCCTTCAGGTTTCCCATCCAGACTTCATCCAAAGGTGGGCAGAAAGCCTACCTGCACAAGAACTCCTCTAGTAGGGGACAGCAAGGAGTTCTGTTCAAACCAGTCTCCTGGTAGTTCTAAACAGGGCCCCAAGACCCTGCATGATTCATTTCTTTGGGGGCGGTGTTCCTAAATGGAACAGGTTGGGCATGGGGACAGGAATGAACCCAACCAGAACAAACTCACAGTTTTCCTTTTATAAAATGCCTAGTGTTGGGTAAAGACAGTGAATACTAAGTCACAACTGTAAACAGAAATGTAGGAAGGGGCTTGGAGTCCCCATGACATTATCCTCTCCTCTGTGAAGGTGACTGAAGCCCCCAGTCCCCAGTACAGTATGAGAGGAGAAGCAGGGTATCAGAAACCTCCTGGGCCCATGGGGAGCCAGGGCCTTGGAATATCAGGTTGGTGCCCCACAGGACTGAGAACAACCACATCCCAGAGCTCAGCAAGGTCACCTGTGCGCTCAAGCTGGAGTCATGCTCAGGCCAACATGGGGCATAGCAGAAAGTCAAACCAGTGTCCCTGGGGTTTGGGGGTCAGAACTGGAAGACTGCTCCCCCTCTAGCGTCAGGTCACTTAAGCGAGCGCTCAGCTCCAGGGGGTACAGGAAGTCCGCGTAGTATCTTTAGAAGGGACAGCAGGAATCCAGAAGGCAGGGTGGGGAAAATCAGAGAAGAAAAGACAGACAAGACATAAAGAGAGAGGAAAATAGGCTCATTAAAGAGGTGAAGGCAGACATGAGACAGCACCTTCAAGGCTCCCAAGCATGTACGGAAAGAGGAAGAGAAAGGTAAGGGCACATGATGTCCCTTCCTCCTGGCACCCTGGCTTCAAGGCTCATTTCCAGCTGACATGCACTGATTAAAATATTAAAATCCTACATCTTGGTAAAGAGCTATTGCTACCAGCTCCCAAGATCCCCCTCCACCAGGACCCTAAGGACTAATAATGCTCACACTTGGTACAGTGATTGTGCCAATGCTGCAACTAATGTCCTTGAGCTCCCAATCATTAGCTACCATGACTAGTTCCCTGGCCTGGATAACCTTGTCATTTGCCTCAAGAGACCCCTACCCATCATCAATAAAGGCAGCCCCCATACCTGCCGGAGACAGGGGGTGCTGTGAAACTCCTTGAGTGCGGGAGTGGTGCCTGGCTGGGGGCCCCATAGAGCGCCTGGCCCACCTCATAGCAGCGGGCATGGAGGAAGGGTGGGTGTGGTGGGCCCACATGTGGCAGCACAGGCCGGCGCTGGGGCCCCATGGCCAGTCCTGAGTTCCGGATGTACCAGTCCCGCAGCCCTTCCAAGGCTAGGTTCTTGTGGCCGCTGCGCTCACCAGCTGGGGGTATACGGGTGGGTGGGGGCATCCACAGCAGAGAGTTTGCATGCACCTCTGGGCCCTCAGCAGCTTCCAAGGGCAGGCCACAGGGCTTAGTACGGGTAGTACGGGGGTGGGGGTCCTTGCTGCGGAGGAGGGGGCTGCTGCTGTCACCTGCATACATGGGTGGTGGGCCAGGGAGCATGGTGAGGAGCCCATCCCGACGGGAAAGGGGTCCTGGGGCCTCAGCTGCAGGCAGCAGTTCCCCCCAACCTGCCCCACCAGCACCTCGAGGCAGGCCCCGGTCCAAAGAATAGTCCACGAGGAAGTCCCCACACACAGGTGGGAGCCTGGAGGCCCCACGGGAGACAGGGGCTGCTGAACTTGGCCGGGTAGCCCGGGGAGGGTCTGGAAGGCCAGCTGTGCGGGAGGAGAAGGCAGGAGGTGGTTGGGGGCGCTCATACAGCACCTCACTGCTTTTGCAGACTGGGGGGCCAGTGGCAGGGGGAGCCAGAGGGGCAGGTGGGGAGCCAGCTCCCCCACTAGCTGCCCGGTCCACCAGCAGGGCCTCAGAGCTGTTGCTGCGGCGGGTGCGAGCTGCGAAGAGGGAGGCGCGATCGGAGGCAGGGTCTGCCCGGGGGAAGCCCATCTGGGAGTCCTGACTGCCGGACCACTGGCGAGAATGGAGGCCTTCGGGTCTGGGGCACAGAGGTAGGGGTAATGGGAGGAAGGTCAGAAAAATCAGGCAGATGACCTGATTGTCCCCCCACCTTATTTCTTTCTGAGCCTCCAGTTACACTAATTCTAGGTCCAAAAATGGACCTAGAATTAGAAGTTGTATGTGTGAAGGCAATACAGAGTGGCATGTAAATGGCAACTGGGTTTGGTCCAGGACTAGGGGCCCCAGGGGTTGGAAATGTATGGAGGGAAAGGCTGCTAGTTGGGGGAATGTAAGTACATATAGACCTGAGGAGGAAATGTTAGCAACGCTAAAGCCACACAGAAAGTTCTTCCTGACCCCTCAACTCCTGCTAAAGCCTGCTCATGGCTTCTCTACCTCCAGGCCAATGTCTCAGTCTGTAGGCCTGGAATGTAAGACCAATATGAACTTTCTGTTGCACCATGTATGTGAACCACAATAACTACCATGCACAGAACGCAAGCCCCACAGGATAAGAGTTTGGGGACTTTTTGCAGCCTGGGGAAAACAGGCACTTTCAAGTATTTAACAGTATAGTAGTTAAAAGAAAAGTCTTAAGAGTCAAAATTGCTTGGGTTCAAATACCAGGCCTTCATTTTACTAACAAGTAACCTTTATGCCTTCTTCGCTCATCTATAAAATGGGAATGACAATAACACCCCTTCAGAGGGATCTTACTAAGTTGCCATCACATAAAGTACTGATTCCTAGCAGATAGTAGGTACTAAGTATATGTTACCCAGAACTTATTATGCCTGTTTTTTATTTTAAAATAAAAAGTAGGAGTTTTTTAAATTTCTATTCCATGTTTTTTTCTTATTAGAATTTTTTAATCAACTACTCATGATTTGTTCAAATGCCTACATTTTTCAAAAGCTGATAATTACTATGTCTACTACAAAAATAAGACAATGATTCAGAGAAGGGAAATGACTTATCCAAGACAAAGGAAAGTCCATACTCAAACATTGGTGCTTCTGTTCCCAATTCCTACCCCTTTCTTCACCAAGATAAATCCTATTCACCTTCAAAGCCCAATTGCCCATACCCCACATCTTTTGATATTTTCTCCTGGATACCTCCAGTTAGAACTAAAGGTTCCCTCCTTTGATCCTCAGGCCCACCCGCAGAGTCCCCTTACTTGCACAGCTGGGGGCCAGCGCCCCGGGTGAGAACAGGGGTGGCAGGCACACTTCGCCCCTCAAAACTGGAGGCACTCCTGGGCAGCGAGCGGGTGGGGCTAGACAGAGACGGGCAGGCCCAGGTCGGGGCCCAGGTTAGAGACCATACCCACAACAGGCCCTTGGCCAGCCCAGGCTCAGGACCCCATTCCTGGCTCCTGGGGAAGGGGAAAAAAGAGCTCGTCCTCACCTGGTTGGGCTGGCCACAGAGTTCCGTCGGCTCTTCAGATCCCCATAAAGATCTGCTGGGGGTGGTTTCCATGGGGTTCGCCTCTCAGGGCTCCCCCCAGATACTGTCCGCAGTTGGTCCCAGGCCTTGGGTGGTGAGGGGCGCTCTGCCAGAGAGAAGCAGCCACGGGTCTCCTCTAGATAGAAGAAAAAAAAAACTGGGGTAGAAGTTAAAAAAGAAGGGCCCAGAAGGGCCAGGACAGGTTGGCACAAAGCACAGGGTAAGGACCCAGTGCTGGATCGGGCTGAGTAGCCTAAGGAGCTAAGGCATAAGACCAGGCAAAAAGGGGAGGAGAGGCGCTCACAAGTACATCCTGGGACTATGGGGGAAGAGATGGGATGATACTAAGAAGATGGGGGCAAGCTGGGCACAGTGGTGGATGCTTATAATCCCAGCACTCTGGAAGGTGAGGAAAGAATACTGCTGCAAGTTTGAGGGCAGCCTGAACTACATAATGAGTTCAAGGCCAGCTGACACTACATAATGAGACCCTGTCTCAAAACACCCCCTGGAAAGGTGGGGGGACAGGAAGATGGAAAACAGCTAAGGCACAGCTGAAAAGTAGGGGAGGGTTTAAGCAACATGAAGTGGGCTAAGGGAACCTAGCAGGAGGCTGGAAGCAAGTTGAGGGCTACAAGTCCTCACCATTATCATGGCTGGCCCCAGATTCTGAGAGGGAGCTGCTTTCCGAGTGCAAGGCTACATCGTCTACAGGTGAGAAGAAAGAGAACGAGAACTATCATCCTAAGGCGTGGTTACCATCCTCTTGCCCCATTAGACAGTTTCCTCTGCTTACCCTGCATTCTGGGTGGCCCCTCCTCACTCTGTTCCCTCTCCAGGAGCCCACTTTTACCTAGACGCAAGCTCACCCTGGGCTTGGCTCCTCACTTTCCTAGGGCCTGCCAGCCAGTCCTCCCAGGGTCTCCCTTGCCCATTTATCACCCTTTATCACAACTCTTCTTATTTGGTGGCTCCCTTACCTTTGTTCATCTCTCAGCATTCACTAGCTGCTCACCCATCCTACCCCTACCACATCTATTAGCCAGAGTTCATTCCCTGGCCTACGCTCCCCCAGTCTCACTGGTGGAATTCTAGGGTCTGACTCACCTTGGCTGAGTTGAGTGAGGCGCGTGCCTAGGCAGACCCCCTGGGTGGTGATGAGTGCCCCCGAGGACAGTGGCAGTGGCTGGGGTGGGATCACTGGGAGGCCGAGGCGGGCCTGGACATCTCCAAGCTGCTCCTCCAACTCATGTAGCCTCCGCAGTGCATCTGCCTGCACCTGGCGCCGGCGCCGGCGCTGCTCAGCACTCAGCTCAGGAGCCAAGGCCAAGCGACGAGCAGCTGCAGCAATCTGCTGCTGCACTGACACCTCTCGCTCCAGGGCCTCAAGAGCCAACTCCTATGGGGCCCAAGAGGGATGGGACAGGACCAAATGTTGGAAATGGACAGGCACAGGAGCCAGGCAGTGGCAGAATCCATCTGCACTGAAAGCAGGGCCTGCTCCTCCTGCAGGCAGGCTTATCTGCCTAGGCATGGAGTTTATTCACTCTCTTGGAGCTGGGCTTATTCATCTTCCCGAAGGTGGGAGGCCAGTCTTGACAGAGTTAGGGACAGCATGACAGCAGACAACCACCTTTTCAAGCCCTTTCCCTTCTCTCCCTTCTCATCCCCACTGCCCAAGCTATACAGCATTCTTTCTATGCCTGTTCCTGTCTCTCCCACCAACCATCTTGCTGTCCACAACCATTTACTCACCTCAGCAGGGCACAAGGAGTGATGTCCTGGGTTAGAGTGTGGTGGAGGGTAGGCACGGGCTGCAGGGGGCCGCCGGCGGACCAACTGGGGACGTTCACCAGGCTCCAGTGGGCACTCTGGAGGCAACTGGCCAGTGAGCTCCTAGAAGGGACAAGGGACAGACACGACCAAGAGTCAGTTGTAGTCATAGAGCAAGGCAGAGATGATCCCAGAGACTACAGAAGTCCTCTATGGAACCATGCCCTGTCCAGCACCCCACATATGTTATGTCTCTTCCTCCACCAGGCAGGAGAGTAGTGTAGACTCTCAGCCCCTCAATGGCCCAAACTCTGGGGCAAGGGGTACCAAAGGTGGCAAAACCTGGAGTGCAGAATATTATAGTCTTTATAAAGACAGTCTATGTACTATATTTTCTATAATACTCCCATGAGGTCTGGATCTGTGCAATCTACACATTTTTTTTAGTCTACACATTATTATTTCCAGCAAATTGTATAGACATTCACTATAAGATGTAAGTCAAAACTACAAATCATCATACGTCAATTCAGGGAAGGCTATACTAATGAATTTGGGAAACTGCTTTCATTTTTTGAGGTTCTGGGGATTTGGAGTTGTTGAGAGGGAATTTTCAGCCTACATCACCATATTTCACTGATTCACTGATTTTAAGAGCTTAGAGGTGACAAAGGATAACAGGGAACCTACAGCCCAGACAAGTGCTTTAGCAATGGCCATCATAATCAGCCTACCTGGGGCCCAGCTCCTCACTCCCTCCCACCTGAGACTCTTAGGACTCGGCTCTCACCGCCTCCTGGAGACAAACTTTTCGGAGTTCCTGAAGTTTTAGGCTCAGCGCCTCCTGCAGGGTCCGCTGCCGGTCAAGCAGCCCCCGAAGACGCTCTGACTTCACCTGGGGGGCAGCCTCTCCAAACAGAGCAGCTGGACACAGAGGGACTGATCAGTGGGAAACCTAGGACATCCTGGAGCATCTTTGGGGCTAGGAACCAACCCTCCCAAGAGAGTAGGTGGTGATTCAGAGAAGCAGCAGGATGGGGAACCAGCTACCGACCTGGGGTATTGAAGGTAGGAGAGCTGATCAGCTGACCTTTGACTTCCATCCTGATGCTGTAGGGAGCCCGTGGCTGATGGCTAGACAAGGCCTGGCAGTGACACAGGAGCCATAGGAAACACAATCCATGATACAACTCTGCATTCTGGCCCCTGGCCAGACCCAGCTTCCCATGCGCCAGCTGGGGATTTTAAGTACCTTGGGCCCCACCCACCTGCCTGACCTGCCCTCTCATATTCTGTGTTGATGTCAGGACCCACTTGCCCTGGTACCTTGGTTCCCTTCCCATTGAGTGGGAACACAGCAAGCAGGAAGCTGGGCAGACTTATGCCTCCTCAGAGGCCCATGGGCCACAGCCTGAAGTCTTGCCTGGGAAGAGAGAAATAATGACACAAATTCAAACAAGTGTAACAACAAGGGGTAATTAAGCAACTGGGTGCCTAGAACAGTTACCTACTATGCCACATGAAATCCTCACAACCCCCCAGTGATAGGAGTTCTGTGATTATCACCCCCATGTCAGGGCTGAGGAAAGTAAGACACAGAGATGAAGTGTCTTGCCCACAGCCAAGGACACAGTCTAGGCCCACCCCTCCCCTCCTATGCTCTCCCTCACTAAAGCTGCTCCAAGTACATCAATTTCCTCATAAATTCCCTGATCTTTCCATCCTCAGGGCCTTTGCCCAGGCTGTGGCTGCTGTCAGTACTGTTTTCAAAGTCTCGCCATTCTACTGTTGCTTCTCACTTAATGTTTTACGGCTTGCATGTCACTTCCAGAGATGGATTCTGCAGAGTACGCTCTCACCACTGCTGAGAGACTGGGCCTCCCTGTACCTCCCTGTCTGTTCTGTTACATCAGTACCTTCAACACACACAGCAAATGCTCCAAGAATGTGTTGCTGACTGAATAACTGATAGTGTGAACACAGGCCCAGACAGCTGTGTCAGGATCTATGCCCAGATCTGTGGGTCTATATTGTCCCAGCTCCATCCTGCAGCCCTGGTGTACCAAAAAGTATTCACAAGATCTCCAGCCTTTTTTCCTCTGAGCCTGTCCTGAGACTACCAAAGGAAAGTCACCATGCCAAGATTTGTGAGAAGCAAAATCCACAGCTATAGATAATAAGCCACATGCCTCCTGCCTCCTCTTGTGCCCCCAAAACCTTGGCTGATCATGGAGCCTACCTTGGTTGGCTGCCAGTTCTCCCTCCCTCTCACCTCTTGCTCAGTCCACAGCTGGGCAAACTGGTGATAATCACCTCCTACCACCTGGCCTAATCTCCATGGTAGGTGGCTGGGCAAGCCTCACCTACCCTGAAATCCACAGCTAGTCTCACCATGGAGGCCATGTTGGGTGAAGACCAGTCAACCAAGAAGCATGGGTTTAAGCACTTTCACTGTCTTTACACTGTGGGATACTGCCAAGTCTCCCCCTTGCTTTGGGGCCTATAACGTGCCCCGCTTTTTCTGCAATCTTCTTACCTGCCCCACAGGGTCTGTTGCCCTCCCCTGAAGTACAGTTGTGCCCTGTCCTCATTACGAGAGGTTAGGTCAGTTTCTAAAGCAGGGTGTCTAATCTGCAGCCCACAAGCTATTTCTCCTCCTTTTCCTTAATATTATAATAAAAATATTTTAAAAGGCAGTTTAGTTACTTGTATACATTAACTATCTTATATATTTCACATGTGACCCAAGACAATGCCTCTTTACTCAATGTGATCCAGAGAAGCTCAAAGGTCAGACATCCACGCCAAAGCCTTTCCACAAGGCCAGGCCAGGTATACTTTACAGAGGTCTCACATGCTCACCCATGTAAGGGCTGGCACTTCCCAACATATGCCCCAGCTCAGCCAGCTCAACCACCTCTGCCTCACAGGTCCAGGGGCTCCTCCTATTTTCCAAGGCCTTGTTTGGGTTTGGGGGAACTTTCAACAAGCTCCCCTGAGCCCTCCTCTACCCCAATAAGAACCCAACCCCCACTCCTGGGCCTCTTACCCCATTTACCAAGATGGGTCCCACATTCCACACAGGGCTGCCTCAACCCTTCCTTCTTTGGGAACTCAGAGCATCCTGGAAGTCAGTGGGGTCCAGACAGGAACCCTAACTCCACCTTGTCAACCTGACCTCTGGGACATAACTGGGGCATGAGTCATAAGGTCACTGTGCCAGCTAGGCACAAGGTCAACGTCCTATCCCCCTACCCCATCCCAGCTTTGAAACCTTTGCCTCTGCTCGCTCACCTGCCCTCAATACACTCGCTTTGGGGCCTAGGGTTGTCCCGTCACCAAGCAGAGATGGTGGGACCTCCACAATCTTCTCTCCAGTCCCTGGGCCTTCCACTGGAGACCCCCGGGGCCTTCTGGTCTGTCAGTTATCTAGGGGATCACTCTGCCTTCCCCTAGCAGGGCAGGGCCCAAGTAGAAGAGCTGCAGAGGGCACCTCCACACCCTGATGCGGGCCCAGCAGGTTTTTCAGGTCTGCCCTTCTGACACCTCAGCCCAGAAAGAAATTCCTGGCTGTAATGACTGTTTACAACCAAGATATCTCACCTGGGTGGCACCCCAACACTGTCTGCAGCACTCCCACCTCCATATCCTGTCTCCATGGGGCAAAAAGCACTCCCAAAATCTGGACTGTCCTCTACCTCCAAGCTCCCACTTCCTCCATTCCAGGTGAACAAATGGGTGGCAGGCAGGTGGGTTCCTGAGAAATAGTTTTTCAATAGCTAGGTCTGGCTTTTCCTGAGGGGCCGGTAGATTCTGAGGTGGGGGAAGGCAGAGGTAGGCAGAGAGGAATGGAGAGGAAATAGAGTGGAGTGGAGAAGGGGTACTCAGGTTGCTCTTCCCCAGACCTCCTCTCTCACTTCAGTCCAGAAAGCAATCTGTCCCAGAAAAGTAACTTGGACAAGTTGGGCTTCACTTCGAGACCCCCACTCCACTCTGCACTGGTAGCATACCTGTTCCACAGATCTGGCTCTCTCCCAAAGGGAACTTTGGCACACCCTTCCCCAAGGCCCTTGTCTTTCCTACACCCTAGACCCACTGCTTTTAGCTCACCAACGCCAGAGAGTTCTGTGGGGTGGCCTCCGGTACCTTAAAGAAAATAGTTGTCTTGACCAGGCCCTGGCTCAGCTGACAATGGCAGTAAACAGCAGTGGCAGATGCCTCGGTCACCTCCCACAAGGCAGTGGCCCAGCCTACCTGGCCAGGAACTGGGTTGGCCCACACCTTTTAACCCTTGCCTGCCTGTCACCAAAGCTAGGGCCACCCAAGGGAGAAGGGAACTGAAGTCAGGGTCAGGTCCCCTCAGGGTGCCCATCATGGCTAACAAAAGAGCCTGTAACTGCTTCCTCACCCCAGACACTTGGTAGACAACTAGGGAAGGGACTAAGTCATGCAAGTAGCTGCTGCCTGTCCTGCTGCCCAGATTCCCAGAGGCTACATGCCCAAGGGGACCTTTGGCCTAGGGATCTAAGGGCTACTAGACATGGGCTATGAATGAAGTTTATGCTTCTCAGCAGTGTGTACCCCTTTCTGAGACCCCCTACCTTCCCTCCCAGGACAAGATGGGATGGGAGGCAGGTCTTGGGGCAATTCCCACCATCATTAGGGTAACAGTTTCAAAGCTGGGGATAGAAGAAGTCAATTTTTTTAAGGAGAGGGCAGGTCTCATGACCCTACTACCTTTCACAGCTTCAGAAAAAAAAAATTCCTCCTAGTAAACTGTCTACAATTTATGTCCTACAAACCTGGGAGTGGGTATAAACTAGTGGTGGCAAACATACGAAAAAAGCGTGCTACAGCAGGCACTTTGTATCAATGAAAGCTCTAAAAGGTTCACTATCACTCGCACAGACCAAACCTCTTCAGAGCTATTGTACAGATGTTGAAACTGAGGCTCTTAGAAGTACAGAGACCGGGACTGGGGATTTAGCTCAGCAGCATAAGCACCTGCCTTGCAAGCACGTGGTCGTGAGTTCGATCCCTGGTACCGATAAAAACGAAAAAAAGACAAAAAAAAAAAAAAAAAAAAAAAGAAGTACAGAGACCTGACTGAGATTAGGGTGACATGCCTAGGAATGGGAAATGGAGTAAGAATCAGAACTAGGCTCAGGGCTACTGCAGGCAGAAGCTACTCCTGCAAGGAGGAAGAGGAGTAAGAAAGGGCTCAGGCTTCTTCACACCCTTTCTGGGTCTCCCTCACCCATTCCCCTCAACATTTCTGGCCAGAAGTCAGGCTTCATGCCAAGAAATTGAGGGCTCCAGGCCTGTCTGGGCATATGCCACATCTTGTGATCTATGTGGGACCATCAGCTCTGTGACTTAAACTCAAACTTAAACCAGGCCCCATCCAGCAGCCTTGCCATGAGGTGAATAGGAGTGTGAGGAATGCTTCCTCCCTACTTGGCAGGTTGGCCTTGCCTGGAATGGAGCTCCTTATCGCAAAGCTATTAAGGCTTCCCACCATCCCTGTCCACCTTTTTTCTTGGGGATGAAATTTCTGGTGTGGGAGACAAAGGCCCCTTTTATTACTTCCTTCTCACACCCTCCTGCGTTGCCCCAGGCTGGTACAGGTCCTCCCAGAGAGGTGATGGTGGAGAGTGCCCTCTTGGGTACAGCTTATCCAACAGCTTCTGGGCCACCAAGAATGTTGGCAAGACCTCTTCACAAAAAAGCCGGTAACTGTAATCCCAGCACTCAGGAGGCTGAGGCAAAAGGATCCCTAAGAGTTACATAGAAAGTTCAAGGCCAGCCTGAATACTGAGACTCTGTCTCAAAACACCAAAATAAAAAATGTTGGAAAGAAAGATGTTTATAAAAATAAGAGCCAAGAGAGACAGGAGATTCTGACTAGCAATGCAGATTGAGTCTTAAAGCTTAGGTTCCCTCATTGTACAATGTATATAAGGTGGTTCCAAGGCCAATAGAGGCCAAAGAAAAGCTGAAAAGAAATTCAAAGTGCAGGGAACCTCACACCATGTCATTAATGACTGTTAATACTAATAATAGCTTACACAGAGGTGGGCTAGTGTGGGGGGAAGTGAAAGAGAGCAAATAGCTGTACCACCTGGGCCAGACAGACAAGTAGAGAAAAATCACATGTACATTACTGTCTTGGCCCATAATTTTTTTTCTTTTTCTTTTTCTTTTTTATACTGAGGAATCCAGGACCCTTGCACTAAGCTACTTTCTCAATTCTTTTTTTGTCTTTTTGAGACAGGGTCTTGCTATGCAGTTTGGGTCGGCCTTGAGTTCACTTTGTAGCCCAGACTGGTCTCAAACTTGCAACAATCCTCCTGCTTCAGCCTCGGAGTACTGGGATTACAGATGTGCACCACCATGCCCAGTGATTCTTTTTTAGTTTTGAGGTAAGATCTTGCTAAATCAATGCTGTGGCTTGTATCTAGATATCCCCCCAAAGCCTCATGTGGTTACAGGTGGGGTTTTTCTGAGGTAGCTGGGTCTAACAGTGTGTGATACTGGGATTAAAGCTGCCCTACCCTGGGTATGGCTGGTACCAAACAAAGGGCGGGTAGCCTGGATGAAATATAAAGGCAAGTTTGGTTGCCGATGCTGCCACTTCTTTGATTTCCTCTCTTCTGCCTGCTTGCTTTACCATGGACAGTTTCTGTTCTCCATGCCACCCTGCTTTGGAGCCATCTTATTATGAACTGAAACCTCTACAAACTGTCAGCTGAAATAAACCTTTCTTCCTTTTAATTTTGGGTGTCAGGTTTTTTGTCTCAGCAATGAGAAGAGTAACTAAAACAGTCACCAGGTTTTGCAGGTTTTCTTTGTTTTTGGTTTTTTGAGACAGGTTCTCACCATGTAATCTAAATTGGCCTTGAACTCAGTACATACCCCATGCTGGCTTCAAACTCACAGCAATCTTCTCACCTCAGCCTCCCAAGGTTCTAGGATTACAGGCACTGAGCTTTAATCCATGACATTATTTTTGAGACAAAGTCTTACTATGCAGTTCAAGCGGGCCTTAAACTTACTGTGTAGCAAAGGCTGGACTCAAACTCAAAGCAATCCTCCTGCCTTAGCTTCCCAAATGATGAGATTACAGGCACATACCACCAAACTCACCTACTCCATCACTTTTAACAGCATGGACAATTGCCTAACTTCTAAACTCCACATCAGTGGGTCCCACATATGGTCCTTAAATAGCTAGTAAATGGCAGGTCTGGGATTCAACATAGCTCTGTTATTTACTGGCTATATAAGTGCCTGGGCAAGTCACTTAACAACTCTACCACAATATCCTTAAGAATCCCCATCCCCATCCTTAATGGGGATGATAATAGCATGTAACTCACAAGACTGTTAATGAGTTAATGTATTTTAAGCTTGCTTTGGATAGTGTCTACCCTAAGTAAGTGCTTAGTGTGCTGGCTGTCATAATTACAAGTATTCCTCTCCATAAACCCAACAATCAAACAGATCCATTCAGAATCTTTTTCACAGAAGTGGTATTTTTCAGCTTCACCTGATAAATCTGGTACTGGGGATCAAACTCCAGACCTTGAGTTTACCAGGCAGGCGCTTACGCCGCCAAGCCAAATCCCCATTCACCTGATGAATCTGAAAAACAGTGGTTTTCCTTAGATAACCTGTCTATACCTATCAAAAAACAGGAATTAGATATATTTAGATGCATTTGAGATACAGCTGATATCAGCCTCCAAACCATCTCTTTTTTTCTTTTTGTTTTTTTGAGATTGGTCTGGCTAGGTAGTTTGGGCTGGCCTTGAACTCACGTTGTAGCCCAAGCTGATCTCAAACTTAGCGACAATCCTCCTGATTAGCCTCCCAAGTGCTAAAACTATAGAAGTATGCCATCATGCCCAGCCAAACCATTTCTATTCATCAAACCAGACTTATTTGAAACAAAGAAAGATGTTTTCCCTCATTCTTCTTTCTTTTTCGTCTTTGAGACAAGGTCTCGATATGCAGTTTAGACTGGGTTTGAGCTCATATTGTGGCCCACACTGGTCTTGAACTTGTACCTGCAATGATCCTCCTGCCTCAGCCTCCCAAGTGCTGGGATTATGAGCAAGTGCCACTATACTCCCTCATTCTCTAACCTCTCACCATCCAATGTTAAAAACGTAAGGAACCAAATACATTCAGATAAATTTTCAGGACACTCACTGTCCAAATACAGGAACTGGGGCCAGGGATATAGTACAGCGCCTGCCTGGTAAGCACAAGACCCTGAGTTCAATTCCTGGCACCAAAAAACAAAAAAGCCAATACACCAATTTATTCCTTTTCTATGATGCTGAGGATGGAACCCAAGGCCTTGTGCATGTCAGGCAAGCACTGTACCACTGAGCTACATTCTCAACCCCTGGATACATTTTTTAGTTAGTCATTCCTAATTATCTGAATTTTCCCTCTTCACTACATAAAATGTGAAAATGAAGTGCCTTCCGGTAACTTGGTTGCTTTATTGTCTGAATTTTCAAAGGTCTCTTTTAAGAACTCAGGTAACAGGGCTGGGGATTTAGCTCAGCAGCATAAGCACCTGCCTTGCAAGCAGGCAGTCGTGAGTTAGATCCCTGGTACCGATAAAAAGCAAAAGGACAAAAAAAAAAAAAAAAAAAGATGGGTTGGGGCTGGGGATTGAGCTCAGTGGCATAAGCGCCTACCTTGAAAGTGTGTGGCTGTGAGTTCGATCCCTGGTACCTACCGATAAAAAAGAAAAAGACAAAAAAAAAGATGGGTCTGATATTATTTAAACTTATCATGCTATGAGAAGTACAGGAACAAAATATATCCCTCCATCCTTAGAATCATGAAGACTGAGAGAGCAAGGGAATCTCATGCAATTGATGTTATTGTTATGACTAAATGAGCCTGAGTTTCTTTTTTAAGACAAGATCTTGGTCTTACTGTGTTACCAGACTGGCCTCAAACTCCTGGGTTCAAGCAATTCTCCTGCCTCAGCTTCCTGAGGAGCTGCAATTAGAGGTGTAAGCCACCACATCTAACTGGACTGGCCTGATTCTGACATCCAGTGACAGCCTGTACCCCCCAACACATATACAAACCAGAGGTGGGACAGACTTAGCACCAAAATATTCATTGCTAGAAGAGGAGAAATAAATCCTATGCTGTATTACACCACTACAAGTCCTGAAACCTCTGGTCTAGGGTAAACATTTTTCAGGCCAGGAACTCAAGGATCATACACCCAAGATTAAGATCAATGATAGGGGTAACATGTCTTAGAAAATTCCTGCATAACCATACTCCTGAGTATGTTCTCAACTTCCCTGCCTCTCCCAATATGGGATAGATCACAGTAGCCCCCAATATAGTAAGGATGGAAACATTACCCAGGTGCTCAGAATCCCAGAGAGTCACTGAATAATTTAGGGTACTCTTTCACTTGGTGGGGGGGGGGGAATAGGAACATTTCCATGCCCTCCTGGGGCAGGAAGAAAAATGTTAGCTTCAAGTGAGGTCACTGGGATGCGAGTGGAGAAAGAAAGATCACATACAAAGACCCCACTGGCAACATAGGGGCTCACTGACTGCTAGTGCTTGTCAAGTGAAACATTTGGGATGTACTTCTGAAATCCTGGGAACACAGCAAGGTATAAGGGGATCCCTATCTTAGACTCAAAAAGGATGGGCAGTGGGTGTTTGGCAGGAAGAAAGTCCAAAAAGGTTGGAAGGGCATGCTAAGCAGTAGAACAGAGATCTAGGGTTGGAATGGGACAGGATGAAAGGACAAGACAGGAAGGAGTGCGGGGACTAAGACTCAAAGAGTCATTGTAGGGTGGAGGACAAGAGGCCAGATAGGGAATGAGTTGGATGCTGGCCAGAAAGTGAGACAAAGTGAGGTTCAGGACAAGATTTAAAGCACAATAAAGAGGCAAAACAGCAGGGCAGAGGTCCGAGCCAGTACAGAACAACAGCCAGAAGACAGAACTGGTACAGGCCAAGCAGTGATCAAGGCAAAGGACAGGTAAAAGAGGAGCTACAAGTATGAGGTCAGGAGCAGGAAAAGACCAGGACAGAATGAAGACAGGAATGAGGCAGTCAAGAGGGAAAAACCAGACAGGGTTGGAGAGGACAAAGCAGGAGACAGGGGGCAGCTCAAAGGTGGAGAGCCAAGATAAGAGACCAGGAGTTGAGAGAGGGACAGAAAGGAAGTAAAGAACAGATCAGGAATCAGGACAAAACTGCATCACTCCAGGGTTGGGGCAAAGGACCCAAGTGGAAGGGGTTCATAGACTGGCATGTTATTGTAGGAACAGACAGGTCAAGCATCAGGATGGTAATTGGGGTCAGTGTTGGGCACCAAGACAAAACAAGGTAAGTTTCACATATGGGACAGCGTCAGGCAAGGATATGTGGTCAGGCCAAGGATTTTGAGGACAGAGGTAGGTGGGTTTTCGGGTCAGAACTGGGTTTAGGGGACAAAACAGAGGGTAAGGACCACACCAGGCCAGAATTCGATCTGGACAGGGGTCGGACTGAAGGTCCTGAAGCAAAAAATGACAGGAGCTGAAGGTTTAAAAATATACAGTAGGGTCAGACAGGGGTCAGGAATGAAGCCACGGGGTCAGAGGTCGCGGGTGCGTGCGCAGGTACCTCCCCGTAGGCGTTTCCGGGCCCTCACCCCGCTATGTCCCCTCCCTTCTTTCCCAGGCAGGGTATGGTACTCACCAAGGGTCCTGGCCTGCGGCGCAGGAGTGTTCGGTGCCCGGCGGGGCTGTGGTGGGCGCACCCCTCCCTCGCGACGCCACGCTCGATCCAGGCGCGCGCCTCTCCCTCCACCCACTCTCGCTCCCCGTCTGCGGGCCGCGGTCAGCCCCGCGACTGTTAACTGTGGGGGCCAAACAGGGAGCGTCCAGAGGGTGAGAGAGGTGCACAGGCCCCACCGTGGGCAATGAGCCCCCGCCCCCCACCTTTAGGTCGGGTCGGTCAGCTCACGGCGGCACGGCTACCTCCGCCACTGAGCTCCAGCCTCGGGTGCGGGAACGGGGGGGGGGGGGGGGGCGGGGCGCGAGACCACAGCAGCGCCGGAGACCAAGTGCGCAGGCGCCAACTCTGGTCTTCGCTATTTTTTTTCCCCAGCTTTAGGAGCGCCAGGAGCGAACAAGCTGGGAGCGCGTGCGCACATGCTCTGGCTCTGTCGAGGGTGGTGTAGCCCGCCCCCCCCCGAGGCCACACCCCCTTAGTGTGCAGACGAGCTTTCCTTACCCCAAGTGGCTTATCCCGTATCCCAAGCAGTACTCCAAACTGCTCTGTGAGTCGTCATCACACCTCTAAATTCCCTAACGACATCTACTATGCTGTCCCCCAAATGCAACCCAAACTGCTCTCCATCTGCCAAGCTGTATCCTCAAAGTATTGTCTTGATTGCGAGCGGTGCTTCCAATCTATCCTGCATAGATAACCAAGCCGCACCAATAAACCATGCTCTATTAACCTTCCCACTTGAGCCCACATCACATTATGTTGACCCCAAACTATACACCTAACTTACCCTTCATGGATATCAAAACCACATGCAAAAATTTATTCATGGACACTCCCCCAAAGCACAACTGCCCTCCATCAATTTGCAAATGACTACTTACCTCTGAATTTCAACCTACAAACCACCTTCCATCATTTCCCAAATTGTATCCCAAACTTATCCATTTATTCCAAACAGTACATCCATTCACTCATCACGGACATGTGAGCTGCACCGATGAACTACTTTCCACTACGCCCCCAATCTACCTGTCATCAGCCCTTAAACCTGTTAATTTTCAAATAACAGCTCTATTTTATTTATTTATTTTTATTTTTTGAGCTACTGGAGATCAAACTCAGGACCTCTTGAGTGCTAAGCAAGTGCTTTACCACTGAGCTACACTTTCAGCCCCAGAGATCATTTCTAAATTACTTTCTAATATGCATGCAGGCACTCTCCATTGAACCCAAACCACCCTCTATTGGTCCTCAAGGTGCTATCTAAGGGATCCTTCACACCACTCAAAACACTCCCAACTACCCCATGTATTTATTTATTTATTTATAGCTATGGAAAATGTTAGGCTAAACTGAGGCACAACCAAGACCACTGAGGCAGGCAAAGTTAAAGTAATGTTCGAGGACTTTATTGCCTACTCCTGTGATCGTGTGATCATTGGCACTGAGCAAGGGGTGAAAGCATGATTTTATAGGGGAGGTTAGGTAGGGGCAGGAGGTATTGCTGGAGGGGCACAAAATTTTGGGTCTCTGAGTTGGAGCTGTAAGGCTAGGTGATAGGAATGTTGGGTACAGTGGATACTGGTAGACACAGCATGTTTCTTCTGTTTTTTGTGGAACCAGCTCTTCGCAGGTTGAGCTGTGTGGGGACAGCTGCTGACTTCCTGTTGAAGGCCATGCCCCCAGGTGTGAATAACAGATCTGTGTTTGGGGGAGTTGTTGAACACTATTTTTTCTTAACTCACAACCTCATGCTTAACAGGCAGGTGCTTATGCCACTTAGCTAAATCCCTAGCCCATTTCCTGGTGTTTAAGGGATTTTTTTCTCTCCTAGTTGGGTGCCAGTCTAGTTCAGAGACCTGTCAGCAAAGTTTTATTAAAGGCAGGAAAAGAAACAGGCTCTACAGAGTAGATTTGGGCCAAGTAAAAATAGAAAAAGAGTCTACCCTACAGCATGAGGATAGCCACCATGGAAAAGTGAACACAAGAGGGCTGGGGATTTAGCTCAGCGGCATAAGTGCCTGCCTTGCAAGCAGGCAGTTGTGAGTTCGATCCCCCGTACCGATAAAAAGACAAAAAAAAAAAAAAAAAAGTGAACACAGGGGCCCCAACTATTCTTGAAGCAGGCATAGATCTATGCTCCATGACCACACATCAACACGCCCCACCAACCTCCCCTCCTACCTCCACAAAATAACCTTCCAGCAGCCCCTATTACTGTCCCACATACTGCTGATTATACTGTGTGTGGTCTTCCAAAGCACTACATCTCCAAGCCAGTTCACTGACATTGACCCAGCTGCACTCTCAAATGACCCTCAACTGTACCTCCAAATAATCACCTGCCATTTTTCTGCAAGGGGCCTCCAAGGCATATTCCAGTGGCCTCAAATGTCTCCTAAACCCTTCAATGACTTTTTTTTTGTAAGACAGAGTTTTGTTCTATAATTCTGTCTAGGGGGCTGGGGATTTAGCTCAGTGGCTTAAGCACCTGCCTGGCAAGCGTGAGGTCATAGGTTCGATCCCCAGCATTAAAAAAAAAAAAAAAAGAATATAATTCTGTCTGGCCTTAAACTCATAATGTAGCCCAGTCTGGCCTTGAATTTGCAGCAATTCTTTTGTGTTAGCCTCTGAAGTGCTGAGATTACAGGTATGCACCACCATGTCTGGCTCCAATGACTCTTAACTGCACACCAAACAATACCTCAGGAACCCAGACTACAAAACACTCTCCAATATCTTTTGTTTCTTTAAAAAATTTTTTGAGACAGGGTTACATAGTTCAGGCTACTTTTGAACTTACTGCATAGCCCAAGCTAGCCTCAAAGTCCCAGCAGTCCTCCTGCCTCAGGTTCCCAAGTGCTGGAATCACTGGTATGCATCACCATGCCTGGCTTTCTTTTTAAATTAAAATTTTTTTTTGGTACTGGATTTTGAACTCAAAGCTTTTGTGTCCCCAGTCTTTTTTTTAATTTTTAGACAGGATCTAGTTAAGTTTCCCAGGCCAGGCTCAAACTTTCAATCCTGTTGGCTTAGCCTTCCAGAATGCTGGGAATACAGGCATCCAATGATCTGTTCTTAAAACATTTTAATTGTATAACTTATATGTCATAAAAATCACTCATTGTGCGCAGCTTGAGACCATACTCATAAGTGAAATAAATCAATCTCGCATGTGTGAATACCGAATAGTTTCCCTAATGTAAGTAATGATTCAAATATATAAAAATATGTGGTAATCATGATTCCCCATTAGGTGGCCTTGAAGCCTTATAAAGGTTTCACTCATTAATTAGAAAGGCTTTATTCTGGGCTTCTTGATATGGAAATATTTGAAGCTAGAGTATATGAAGTTTTATCCAAATATTTCAAGGAAAAAGACAGACACTATGGTAACTACTATTAAGTCGGGTTATATGGTGGTGAAGTACTAGGTTGCTGAAACAGTCATGCTTTGACCTCTATTGTTATATTGTTATGTCCTGTTTTATCTCAATCTCCCCCTTATTCTTTTAAAAAAATTATTTAGTCATTTCTTATGTTTGTCTTAAAGAAAAATTTTAAAAAATTAGGATATATAAATAGTAACTCTTTTTGATTTCCTATTAACTTGTTTTGAAGTCCTGTAATACTCCCACGATCTTGTTTTGACCGATTAGACTCTGTTCCATTCTATATGATAGTATCAAGTTTGAAGACATAGGCAACTACTTTGAAGGCAATAAGATTCACTAAGATACCCATTCTGGTTTGACTATTGTCTTCTTTGGAAGTCCTGTAATGTTTATAATGCCTAAGTTTTATTGGTCTTGTTCTCTACTGTTTTGTCCAACTTTATAATATCTAATGAGATAGACAATTCTTTTTAAGGAAACAAGAGACAACGTTGATAACCATTGTTGATAACCTTGTACTCTGTTCTACACCATGTGCTATGTCTATCCTTGGTTTTGACTGACAGCTTTGTTTTGCCATATTTGACTGTATTCTCTCCCCCCCCAAAAAAAGTAATAAGCACTAAGGAGTAATAAAATCCAAAATGTGTAAATTTTGTTGTAAAAAAGAGAGGGAAAAAAAAGAAAAAAGAAAAAGAGCTCTAACGGATATAACAGCAAGTGTGTTTAGGGGTGTTAAATAGCTGACTATATCAATGTTTTTGGATCATTGAACACAGCTGTTTGCAGTCTCCCTGTTTGAATGTCCACCTTGTATTCTTTGATACTGTGATTTGAGCAACTATTTTCAAGATGGTAATATGTAATCTACTAATAGGTGATTTCTTACTGTTATGTTTTTTTTTGTAGTTCTGTATTACGTGTACCCTTACACTGCTTTGTTTTGTTTTGTGTTTTTCTCTTTTTCCTCTTAAATAAAAAAAAATCACTCATTGTAAGTGCATTCACTTAGTAAATTTACCAAAGTACGCAGCAATCACCATAATCCAGATTCAAAGTGGAAGAGTTTTCTGGCACAATAGAGAAGCAAAAGTACAAAAAGAACAGGTTTATTGAGATGAGGATGTGGAAAGGAGTACACAACCCATGGCAGCTGCACAGTCTCCTTATCCTTCGACTGGAATATGGGAGTTATGGGACATACATAACCTTTGAGTGGGGGTGGTGCTTAGGGCTGGCATTGCTGATGCACTAGGAGCATTGGGATTGGGATTCCCCACCCCCACCCCATCCCCCACCACCCTCATTCCCGCACAAACAGGAAGGGGAGTTGCAATTAAGGTTGAGGAAGAAGCAGGGAGTGGTAAGCTGTCCCACTTTGGCCTTCCATCACTTTAGACCACTGCCATAATCATACAGTGATTTATTGTAGGGAAAAACTGTTTCACAAAGCATTTATATCACCTCAGTAAGATCCCTCATGCTCAAAAACAGTCCCCATTCTCATTCCCAGCCCTAGGCAACCGCTAATCTACTTCCTGTCTCTATAGATTTGCCTGTCCTGGACATTTTGTATAAATGAAATAAGTGAAATATTTATCTGGATTTTTTCACTTATCATAAAGTTTGTGAGATGCTATTTTACAGCATGTATGAGCAGTTCGTTCATTTCATTACTGAAGAGTAGTCTATCCAATTTTGTGCTTTTTGTATTGGACACTGGAAATCGAACTCAGGATTTTATACTAACCTACATCTCCAGCCCTGTTTTGAGACAGGATCTTACTAAATTGCCCAGGCTAGCCTCAAACTTCTAATCCCCTTGACTCAGCCTCCCGAGTAGCTGAGATTATAAATGTGTGCACCTGGCTTCCAATGGTCTTTTTTA